ATTCTGTTAGATCAAATATATTAAGTTTGAAATACCAAAGGTTTACACGATTAGGTTGTAATGATTTCTTGTGAGACAATTTTAGACTGTGGCGAAGACTCAATTCCTTACTTTTTATATTTGGTACGTGGTAATTCAGAATATTTATTGATATAATAAAGCTCTTCACTCATATATACATACATTAATATGTCAGCTATAGCTGGCTAAAGGCTAAATCAAAATGGCTTCTCTGGGGGTAACATATGCTATAAAAAAAATTGTGTTCAAAATCAGAAATATTTTTAATCTTCAAAATTCTAATATTTTTTTTCATTTACTAAAGAATTTTTATTCAAGAGTTTCTGAAATTCCACGGAAAACGCCGGGCACTTCAGCAGTATGTAATAAGATGTAAGCACCACGTACCATAAAGCACGATAGACTGTTATCTAAGCAGATAGAGAAAGTTGTTTGCATTTCTTTATGGCAAAACGGGACCGTACACCAAATATATAATCTTGAAGTGAGATTAATGTCAATGTCGAACTAACGTGCACTTCGCGCAAGCACGTTATAGCGAGCATAATTTGACTTAATCATGGCAAATATATTGGGAAACGAACCTACACACTCCTCTGCCGCTTTAGTAATTGTAAATTGGCGGTACAGTCCAAACTAGGACTGGAAAGGTTGGCCCAGCTCGTATATTCAAATGTACATCGGTTGGGCGTGCCTAAGGTTTGGTTTGGAATTGTGAAACTGCAGAGAACTGTGGAGTTATATGAAGACTGTAATACTCATGAAACATAACAGTTGGCCAAAGTACATACACCCATTTTACTGAGCTTAATTTTCAAGCTATCGGTAAAATTGTTTGCAACATTAAAAACAGAATATCATTTATATGTCGTTTATTTATTCCACAGTTTTATGGGTCCTTAACTAAGTTGATTTAAAGAAAATATTTTAGCCAAGGGGGGGGGGTGATTTCTTGGGGGTGGATGAAGACTTTAACCCGTGAATGGAATAATCTAGAATAAGCGGGTTGTGGGAATTCATCTAAGAAAAATCTCCAAGTGTTAAATTTTCTATCCGGTTAAAACTTGAAGGGTGTTTTTAAAAATCAATATTTTTTCCTAATTGTAAATTAAATGATTTATTCTTTTATATCTGTAACTTTTCGAAACAAAATAATCTAAAAAAAAGTTTTATTCTGAAATTATTTTTCTGTATACACATATATTGAACTAGATTGATCAGGGTTTAAAACTAGGCTGCAGAACAGGTCTGGTGAGGAGGGATGGATGGGTTCTCCGGGTACTCCTAGAGCTTATATAGACCGGAGCAGGAGTAGAACCCATCAGTTCATATGTGAATCCTTCAGTCTCAAGCTAAGCATGGACATTGAGTGAAAATGTTAAAATATCGCATTCAATGTGAATTTGTCTACAATTAGGCCCAATTGCAGAATTAATAAAAATTTATCTTAAAAATGAATTGAAATGTAAACGGTTGGTAATTGTGAATGATTAGTGATTTCTTTTCTTAAAGTGACCTGATCATTTCTTCCTCATAAGAAAAAATGGAGGAATTATCAGAAATAAACACTTTTTGAGTTAGAAAAACGACGTTATCTTTATGATTAATTTTTCAAGGGTACATGCATTTGCATGGAGTTCACTAACATCCCCTTAGTTAAGCATTTATTGATAACAAATTTGAACGATTTTATTTTTACAATCGTAGGCGATTATGTCAATACAATAAAGGCGACTTTTTATTTAAGTTTTGATAGTTTGCAGGCTTTTTTTCGAATTACAAGTTTACAAGTAATTAAAGAAAAGCTTTTTTATTGACAGAATCTCGTTGTTTTCTTGTTTATGTGTATCCTTGCTGTTGAAAACAAAGAGAATAGAATATATATTAGAGGGGAATTTACTAGAAAAAAGTGTAAAACGGCCATTTTGTTGTACTGTTTCCATACTGCAGGTGTACTTCACATATTTATGCTTATATATAACCTTTTGGGCCCCATGGAATATCATTTTATAGAAAATCTAAAATTAATATTAACAGAAAACCAAATTATGAAATAGGCTGGTTTCATAATTAACCAATGATCAGTTCACAAAGATTCTATGCCTTTCACTTTACAAACGATGATTTTCCGTTATAACTATAAATCAAATGATGTTTTTTATTCAGCTTATTCATTATAAAGTTTATTTAACAGCTTTAAAAAATTCGAAATTGAAATGGATAGTCTAGGGAACATACTGTATTAATGTACTCTACTGCATATAATTTGTGAACATTTACATGATTTGTACACTTTGAACTTCCTTTCAGGCTATAAGGGACTGAAAAAATTCATACCGGGAGATTCACTAAATTCCCCTCTAATATACATTCTATTCTCTTTGGTTGAAAAGCTTCATATTAATAAAAATCAAAATCTAAATGCCTCGTCGTTGTTTTGAACTTTTGATATATGCGACGACGAAGCTGTAGCAAGGCAAAAAAGTACTAAACACTCACTGCACAAACTCTTAATCTTCTAATCCCTTTATCTTTGCAACCTTACCGTGAAAAAATTTGATATTTCAAATTTTAACTTTTTGGTCGATCTAGGCTTACTATAATAGTTTAAAACAAGAAAGGTTTATTCACATTAAACTAAAGTAAATTTCACGTAGGATTTAAATCATATCTTCAATCTTAAATCCTTTTATTGAAGAGTTTTTGAGAAGAAGAAAATCTTTTGAATTTCTAATATGGAAGAATAAAATGACAACTTTTTTGATCGAATCTTCAAAACATGTAATGGTCGAAATATATATGTTCGGATATTTTCGTTATTTTATTTTCTAAACTTTTTAAAATTTTTGACATTAAATGTTAGAATACAAAACAGGTTTGTTTTATAACAATATATTTAAGGAAGTCTTTACTATAACAAAAAACCTAAAATAGCAGAGAAAATCGGGAAATTTAGTAAAAAAAAACTATGAATTTGAATTTAATTTGAGGGTTGAATTGTATTTTTACCAGCTCTAAGTTCAACAACCCATATTTTTTTCGCAATCTTAAAAGCTTCGAATTAAATAGACTTTAAAATGTGAATAAATTTGTCAGGTTTGATTGGTCTAAAAACGTAGAAAAATCTTCATGATGAGTTATTCGAAATTTGCTTTTTATGCTTTTTTAGTAACATTGCAATTGAATATGTATGATATAGCTATGCAAACCACTCAGAAATATGTCTGAGTGATTCAGCGAAAGAAATGGATATATGAAAACCTTGATATATGATCACCATTAAAATTTTACCAAACAGCAATTCTTAATTCTATAATAATTAAAATCTGCCAGGTTTTAAAACAAAAATGTTCAGTATTATCTAGAAAATGCTGAAAAAGGCTTCATTATTAATATTCAAGTTCTTAGTCCGGTTTTATTGATTTAAATCTTTATTTACAGAGACCAAAACTTTTTTTCTTTAATATCCGACAAAACCAGACTCCTATGGCTTAATAGCTAGTTAGATATTCTAAACAAAATGTGTGTGCTTTAGATCCAGAAAATGAAAGTTTTTCAATTATATTCGTAACATTATGATCACATTAGATAGGCTAAAAAGATTACATTTAAGTAAAAAACAACTTGACTGTATGATTGTCGGTATTTTTGCTCCCAATACGTTATACGAAATGATTTCTTATTGTAAATATTTTCAGAATAAGGTTTAGACAAGATGGTTGCTGACAACATTAATCTTGGTGGAACAGCTATCAAGCCTGTAGGCTGGGACAGGTTAATAAACTTCTTAAAAATTATTTTTTAAAATTTTTAAATTCAAAGGAAGGATTTTATCTGAGTTGGGAACTCTTGTTCTGTGGATATCGAGATCGATGCTTAATCTCGATAATTTTGTTAATCTGAAGATTAATTTAATCTGTATTCGTTATCTGCAATGCAATTGTGCCCTGAGCTGAAAACTTTAAGATGATGGATATCGAGATCAATGCTTGATCTCCTCTTTTTCTTAATCTCCAGATTAAATAATGCTCGTTCTCCTCTTCTTATTAATCTCCAGATTTATTAACGATCGGGATTAAGAATATCCCATTCTAGAGTTTTCAGCTCTGAAGAGATAACTGAAATACTGAGATTAAATATTGATCCTCAAATTAAAAACGCCCGCTGTGGATATTGAGATCTGTGGAACAGGATTTGTGAGTATCTAACACAAAAGTTCCAGCTCAGTTAATTTAACTATGAAGGCCACTTAAAATTACATACATTGTCAATGTATAACACATTAGAATAATTTGATTGTACAGGTCTCCATGGGAAAGCTTCAAGTACATGTTGTACGACCCCAGCACAGGAGCAATCCTAACCAGGACACCTATGTCCTGGGCTAAGATTGTTGGGTTCTACCTTGTGTACTACTCTGTCCTGGCAGCCTTCTGGATGACTTGCATGATGATCTTCTTTAAGACTCTGCCAGACAACCAACCTAAGTAAGAACACAGATAATAGCTTTTTAATTAGTAGAGTTCCTTGGTTGAAACCAGATCAATTATAATGTGTGTAGCCGGGTTTATACCGGACATAAAGAGTTGGGTAGGTGGGAAGTACCTAAGTGCATAACTAGCACAACTAAAGATACTATTACTATTGTATATTTTATTGTAAATGATAAAAACCCCTTCTATAAATACTATTCAGATAATCTTCTGGGTTTTCAATGATAACCGCTAGGGCTATAACTCTCAAGATTCAATGATAAACCCTAGGGCTATAACTCTCAAGATTCAATGATAAACCCTAGGGCTATAACTCTCAGGATTCAATGATAAAACCTAGGATTATAACTCTCAATATTCAATGATAACCCCCATGGCTATAACTCTCGGGGTATTATTGAATCCCTTTAAAGTTTGAGGTTTAAATTTCCAATGGTCCTATCTTCTCCTAGAGTAATGATACATCCTTCACCACACTTTTTACAGATGGCTTCTTACTGAATCTCTGATTGGAAACAACCCTGGAGTAGGAGTGAGACCGGGTACCTCTGATCTCCATATTGACAGCAGTATGTATCTCCTAAACTCACAGGATAAGGACAAGAGCCCAAGTAACAAGGAGGGCGAAGGAGAAAAGAACATTGACTACGCCAGAAGAATGGAAATGTTTTTAAAGGGATATGACTCCAAATCAGCTGGACTTGTCAGCTGTGATGGCTCTGATGTAAGTAATCCATGAATATTTTCAAAAAAATTGTAATACTTGATAAATAAGTCTTTTTAGGATAGAAACAACGGAAGGTGCATCTTTGACCTATCTGTATTAGAATCATGTGGAACTTATCCTTATGGATTCATGCCTGTTGATGGTAAGGTCCATCCATGCCTTTTCCTCAAGCTCAACAAGATCTGGAATTTTAGACCTAAGGGCATCAAGGCTGCTAATGTTGATGATCCTGAATATGATGCTATGAGCGAAGAGCTAAAGGAAATTATCCGTACTTCTGGTGATGCAGACCAGGTTTATATTGACTGCAAGGGTCGCTTTCCAGCTGATGTTGAGGGAGTCAATCTAACATATTTCCCAGCTAACAGAGCTATTCCATCTTACTTTTTCCCCTTCTCCGGGGGTAACTACCAGTCTCCTCTGGTGGCAGTTAAGGTAAGAGCCAAATAAAACTGGGTTCAAAAACTATATTTACCAATTTTGTCTTTGGCCCAGAAATTAATCACAATGTTTTATAGAATTTATATTTTTGAGGTGAAATTTAAAAGGAAGAGGAGAAATCATCTTTAATCTTAAATTTAATTTTTTTAATAAATTAATTTCGTTTGTTCTCGAAAGTATTGATAATTTTCCATTTATTTTGTTAATTTATTCACTTAACAATCTTTCAGTAAAATAATTCGCTAAATAATAAAGTTCATATAGCAAAGTCATTCATTCGGTAATGTAAAAAAAGGTAGCATTTTCAATAAAATTTCGAAAAATCTTTAGTTCCATATGAAAAATATTCGTTCAGCTAAAAACTACACCTTTTTCAAAATCTTTTTGAAACTTTGTCTGTTTTGGAAAAAACGCACAAATTATTCATTAAATGAGTTGAACGATTTTAAATAGTTTGTTTTTATTTTTCATCAATTTTTATAAAACGATTGTTTTTTATTTCTCTGAACAATCCAAGTTGTTTGTTAATTGCTCATTTTTTTCTGAACTACATCATTACATTTGATCACAAAAACAATACCCATCTCTAGTAGCAATATGCTGCTACAGTTTGTTAATTTTACTCAAGTTAACCTTAATAATGACATCATACATTTGTTTAAAGGGAGTGTTCGCGAAAAATAAAAGGGGGTATAGGCTTAATGCGATAAAAAGTGCTTTTGATTGCTACTAATCTTACTTCTTTCTGTTGCGTCTATAAGGAGAAAATTGTTAAAGACGTCTCATACCTAATAAAATAATCAAATTCAAAACAAATTAATTAAAAAATAATATAAAATATAAACTATACACAAATATGGCAATCATAAAAAGAAAAAAGGAATCCTTACTGATTTTCACCTTATTAATCCTTGTTCCTTGTTGTAAAGGTTGAACCTGTCCTGAAGGGAACTTTGCTTCATATTGAGTGTCGTGCCTGGTTTGAAGGTGTGGTTCACTCTGGAAAAGAGAAAGCGGGTCTTACTCAGTTTGAAGTTCTTGTCAGATAACTGAACCAACCCAAACCATTGTCAGCTGATTTCCACGTGGTCTATTAAGAAGTGTATAGAATGTATTCCTGATCTCTTTGGATGTGTAGTTATCAACTTGATACAGTTAGTAATCTGCTGAGGCTGTGATGGAATATTTATAAATATATAATTTAATGCTGTCTGTTGATTACTGCCATGTTGATATTTTATAATAAAATTGTTCTGAATTAGTAATGGCCTAAGAGATGGGTAGAACAAGAAAAGAGCCATTTTTTTTATTAACGCTCATGTTTTACAAATGTGGGAGTAGGACAACATTCTCTTCCCTAAATGTTTTTTGACCAAGTCCAATTTTCAAAATGAATTAGGCTATTAGCTGTTTCCTGTTTCAGAAAAATATATGTTATTTGTTATTTTTGTTTTGTTTTCATATATTTCAAACTACTAACTATTTCCCAAAATATAACAGACCTTTTATGTTAAACTTTTTTTGACCAACATGTAACAGTTTTTGTCCAATTACGTCCAAAAAATGTAGGATTTTTATAATTTTTACCTGCATAAAATGCACTTAACATGCAGGCGGACACAAGAGACTGTTTCATTTCCAGTGAAAAGCAACATATTAATACTTTCTCAAAAAAATTTGCTATCTATTTAATATCAGAAAGTCATAGATTAATAATTGTTGACCAAAAATGGTAATATTTTCTCAAAATAATTAAATAGTTGACAAAAAAACTCTTTATCGCTTTGGAATTGCAGAATAGTTCTATAATTTCGTGTTTTTTAGCTTGGCAACCCAGTTTTGCCTGGAAACTAAGTTTTCCTTTAAAAGTCAACTTAGATTTCCGTGGTTCTACCGAGATCTCCAATCACTATTTGAGACAAATCAGTCAAGCTGGGTCTCTGAGTTGTGATCGGACATACAAATAAAACAAACAGACAGACAGAGATTACACTTCCCGGCAGCATGAGTTGGATTTTTCAAATTCTATTCGGAAAAATAGCTGGCAAACACATGTTTTATGTTTAACAGTGCCTTAAGTGTATAATTTCATTTTTTAACATTTAACAATATGCATGGGCACTTCTTTAAAATACTAGCTACATTGTGTTTTTGTGGAGACATTATTCCGCACGAGAACTTGCAATGAAGATTAAAAATCAAAGGCGGGGGGGGGTTCATCCCTTCATGATTTTTTTTCGNGGAGTCCAGAGTTCCTCAAATAGTAATCACCGCCACCCAAATCTGTTTTGCGGCAAGCGCGCTCCTCAATTGGTAATCTCCACCACCTCAAATAGTAATCAGCCCAAAAAAGCATAAAATTAAATTGTTTATTTCTTAGAAATAAGACCATATTGACCTCCTTTAATGGCCCTATGGTATACAATATTGTTAAAGCTTTCTTTATATAAATCAATAAATATGCCACACTAAGTGCTAGAAATATATTTCTAGCACTTAGTGAGGAACTCTGGACGCCCTCCCTCCCCCACCCCCAGCTAACCTAACCTATTACTGAACAAACATTTTCCCTGAACTAACAATCACTTAACCCTATCCCGTTGGAGGGGGGGAGGGGTGTTTTCTGAAGTGATGAAGTGCTCAAGCGTCGATGAACTTTCATTTTAATTTACTCTGAAATGGATAAAAATGAATAATAATAATATTAAAAATTCAGGACGCACGACAGATTAAGCTGTCTTTATAAATCGGTGCGCGCGTCGGTCCGAGCAGATTTAGATTGATTGAACTCATCTATCTGAATAGCTGTACTAAGAAAACATACAATTAGTATGCTTAGCATACTTTGAGTTTTCCACCCGTGTGGTTTTTTTTCTAAATAACTTAAAAACGGCTTACATTAGAATGCTAAAACTTTTTCAATATAATAGTTGTAAACAAATTTTGCTAAACTTTTGATGCATAGGGTAGGGTGGAAGACGGTCAAACGGCGGGTTGGTGTATCAAAAAAATCAGAAATGGTTAATAACTTGTTTATTAATTAAGCTACAGGGCCCAAAAACTATTTTAAAAGATAGTGTAGTGGTGGAGGTAGGTGGGGGGNGGGGGGGGGGGATGCAGATAGTGAGGTGTTGGTTCGTTTTAAGGTAGTTTTTTGTGTACATTTTCTATCAGGGTCAAATTTTAGCATAGTGTATTTAACGCAAATGTATTTTTGATTATTTATTCTAAATATTTAATTTTCTTACACGATGTCAAATGTTGACCCTGGCAAAAGTTCTATGCGAAAAACGACAAAAAAAACGATGCAAAAACGAAGGAGTCGTAAAACTAGTTTCGGATCGTTTTTGCACTTTTTACTTTTTGGATTGAAATATTTCTAAGTTAGATAAAATAACTTTAACGTAATATATACAGTTTTATTAATATTTTTCTAAAACGATTAACAACAGGTGCAGTCTTCCATGCCTATTTTGCTTTGAATTTCAATTAATTTTGATTTTTTCAAAAATCTCTCTCTCGTCTCCCCCCCTTTTTCTATAATTACCCTCCCATACCCCAGGGTTAAAGGCATATTGCAGTGTTTTGTATCTATTATCTCAGTTCACCATGAAAAACAAAGGGTTCAAGTATAATCTCCAGTTAATTGTATTGTTCTTCAGGCAAAGTTATTCCATTGTTTGTAAATCAAATATATAATTTTAGACAAAACTCTAGAAACTAAGAAATGTCAAATTTTCATAAAACAGTTTTAATTTTGCTCCAAAAAGTGTTGTTAGACGAAAATTTGACATTACTATAGATATACTCGGTAATATAGTAATAGTAATATAGTACTTACTATATATATTACTATATAGATATACTCGGTGTTCCTTTGTGCACTTTTATTAAATAACGTGTAAGTAATTTGTCCAATTGATGTAGAGATTGGAGATAGACTACTTCTACCATCAAACGAAAGCTTTTCAGAAACTAATAAAAAAAGAACAAACCAATATTTTCATTATATCCTTCCCGACTTTTCTTTGAATTTACAGCTAAATCCAAATATATTGTCAAGTACAATAGATGGCAACGTAGAATTTGTACACTCTCAGTACACTTACAGCTGTATTCAGACGTCACAAGTGTCAACAGTTTTTGTGTCCGACAAAATCATCAATGATATTGATAATTTAAGAATAAAGTGCTTATCTTACAGTAAAATAAGTGCAATTCTATGTGTTCTTTATTTTCTGTTTTTACACTTTTTTATTGAATCTTGGAAAACATGTCAACTATTGTGAGAAAATTTTATTTTCCTTGTTATATTTGACACTTGTGACGTCGTGTATCATTGGTCCATTTCTCTGTTGCCACCTATTGTATTTGGCTAAATCTATCCATTATTTTTGAACCTAAAAAGGAGTTCAATGTGTACAATTCATGTAAATGTTCACAAATTATACGAAGTACATCACATTAATACAGTACGATCCCTGGACATATCCGTTACAATTTCTACCTTTTTTAAAGTTAATGGTGAAATGAACTCGGGATTTTAAAGTAAAGCTTATGCTGAAATTAACTCAGGAATGCATGCTAGATTGTCAGAGAATTGATTAAGAGAAGAAAAAAAAATTTCAAGAATATTTTTTCTATAAAAAGATGTTCCAGGGACCAAAAGGTTATATAGCACCAATGTGTGAAGTACACCTGCAGTATGGAAACAGTACAACAAAATGGCGGTTTTACACTTATTTCGACTTAATTTCACTCTTTGCTTATCTATTTTCAGCTAAATAACATTAACTGAGATTGTGTAATGAATGAATTATAGTTTGAATTAAATGAATGGGATCAGGCCCACGGTTTCCAGCGAACGAAAACTTTCGCGAAAATTTTCTTTCGTATTTTGCAATCGATTGCAAATGATTTTGCACTGATTTTGCGTAAACCGAAATTTTTTTTTCATCAATCTGTTTCAAGAAAAATTTATCAAAAAAATGCAAAATTGTCCGTCAAAAAATAAATCTTTTCACTGGAAACTCTACATTTATGATAGAGAAAAGAATGGGGGGGGGGGTTTCCAAAAAAGTTCAAAACTAATTGAATTAATAAGTTCCATCCTCAGTAGTGAATTCGGTGATGTTAATTCAAGAAAGTCTGACCCAGTGGAAGAATTGAGGTAAAATGATATTTTTTAACATATTTATTTTTTTAATTTAAATTTTAACAATCTATATAATAAAACAAGACATTCGTATAAATGAATGAAACCTTAATCTAATCAACAACTTAAGTAAGAAAGCTGTCAGTGTAATTTCAAGTGATCCTCTAAAAAACATTTATCTGATCAGTATAATAATGAATGTTTTGCTAGGTTTAAAAGTGCTTAATTCTGATGATTCCTGCAGTAGAAACTCGCAAGGCACTTTTGTAGAGAGCCCACAGTTAAAAGTTGTAAACATAAATAAATTCATGCTTGATCAGACAAACCTTTTTAGGATAACGTTGTGAATCTGACATTTACCATTTGAATTTTTACCACCATATTTAATGCAAATTTATCCCGTTATAATTTGATTTTAAACAATATTCCCTGTAGGGGCACGAGAGTGAGGAGAAGCAGTGATTTGTACAAAGAAAATATGAGATTTGAGTTCAAGGATGATATTGAGCCTGAGGGAAAGCTGTATTATGTATCAGGAAAATAGAGATATATAGAGTTTATACACCCACCCCCCAGTATTTCCGTCATGGGCTATCTGGAACCCCTTCCCCTTGGCGTTTAAGTCTACTGTTATGAATGTATTTTGATAAATATTCTGCCGTAGAGGTCACTGTGTCTGTAGAAAGCTGTAAGAAAACAGGATATTGCTCGCTTGCTTTTACAGGGTTTCAGCTGATACTACAAAAACTACGCTTATAAACTTCATAATTTAGTGTTAAACATAACAAATTCTCCTGAATCAAAACCCTGCAAATTTCAATACAGATACAAGGAGATGTTATTGCCTCTAGTGTGAGAAATGTTTTTAAAATCTATTCCAACCTGATTCCGCTTGTAAGCAAGTACACTTTATGTTCTATATCTCTAATATCAGGAAACGCTGGGGATCAGCAGGATGAATTTGACAGTTCAGAAAAGTTGATTTTTATTGATACAAGTAGTGAATACTCTGAAACTGTGGTCAATACAGATAAACTCAAACTTTATGATTCTGAGGTAAAGGGAGGTTAATAAACAAAAAATTTCATCTAATCATGCAGCAACAATGTTGAATAATTAACCTGAAGTCAAATTAAGACCAATATGAAAATAATTTTGATCAATAGTTTTAAATACCGATGCATTAAACGGGACATACATGATTTGGAAAGTGGATACCAAGAGACATGGCAAAAATTTTAACAATATAACTTACACATTGGAAAATTTTCCAACAAAGTTGTATTCTAGACAACAAGTTTGTTTTAACATTTTATATATTAATATTCAAAATTTGCAATATATCATAAGAAACCCAAATCTGTGATTGAAATTGGAAAAAAAAATTATTGTTAGTTACAAAATTTACGGTTTTAAGATTTTTTTCATGGTCATCAAAACAACACCTATTCCAATTGGATACAGTTGAAATGAATTTTATGCAGATTAAAGGGATGTGAATACAGAATAATAAGTAAGATATTTAACCGAAATGTCAAAAAATTGAAATAGGTCATGGTTTGACATCTGGCTGCAAAGATATAAGGATTATAAAATTAATGCTTTAGGATATTAATCTATGACTGTATCCAAGCTATTTTGTTAGAAAATTTAAAATGTGACTGACAATTGTTGACATACTCAATACTCAGGTCTAATATAATCATTAGATATATTTTTGTATTCACAGGAAGAAATTCAAGATAATTTGCTTCCAGAAGCTGTTAAAGAAATCTATGTGCTTCCTGGAACCACTGAAAGGGCACTGACAGATCACAAGATCAAAGTTCAGATCAAACAAGTGTTTAAACTGCCTGCCTTGGTGACAACTGTGCCTCCTTCTAATGATAATTACAAGTTCTATGAGGACATTATAACAGTTGACAATGAAAAAAAAGATGACTTTGAGAAAGGTGATGATTTTATGAAAGGATATGAAGTTAAAGAATTGACTGATCTTGTGGAAAATGAAGATCCCTCTGCAAAACAAAGCAAAGAAAATCTTGAGCAAAGTATTAAATCTGATATAATCCGAATTAAAACTAATTTGATCGACAACCCCTCAAATAATGATGATGGAAATGACATCTCTGATGAAGATGAAGTTGAAAACAGAAAATTATTTCATTCTGGAAATGTCTCTGAAGCTTCAAACAAAAGCTCGAGCACGATTAATGTTCCAAAAGATGAACAGAAGTCAAGCTTAAATTTAGAAAGCTATGCAGTCTCGGAAAATGTAATAGGAAGTTATGATCTTAGTAGAAATGATATTGCTGCTACTGAAACAAAAAATAAAAATGAGGCTGAAACTGGTGAGGAAAGTGGTAATGATTACTCAGATGATTTTGAAGACCAATCATCACAATCAAATCAAAACCCATTATCTCCAACAAATATCGAAAATGGGAATTTGGATTTTGGCGAAAAAAGTATTTTTTTCAAAACTAATGCTTCTGATTCTGTTTCTGCGTCTGATCCTGTTTCTGCATCTGATTCTGTTTCTGCTTCTGATTCTGTTTCTGCTTCTGATCCTGTTTCTGCTTCTGATTCTGATTCTGGTATTAACCCAGGACTTGATTATATGTTAAGTAAAGAATCCAGCAGTACACCAGATCAGATAACTGGCGCCTCAAATGGTGACTTGAAAGGAAATAAGGGTGACCTTACTATTTTCTTTAAAACGAATGAAACAGGATCAAATCAGCCAAGAGATCTTCCAGATAATCCGTCAGATGGGAGTTTAAATGAAATGATTACAACCCCAGTATCAAGTGTTGATTACAAAATGGGTAGTTATGAGGAAACCCCGTTGGAAGATAATAAAGCAAATACAACTTACTTTATCCTTCCAGCAGGCACTGATTACAACTTTCAGCCAGAAACGTTCGTTGACGGAGTTGCTAAAATTATCAACAAAATGCCAAAGCGATTTGACAGCACAATGAAAAACTACATGATTTCAATTCAAACACTTATATCAGACAAATCTCCAGAAATACAGAATTCAGTTATTCAACTATTCATAAATCATGCGGACCAGGACTTACAATCAATACTGAGCCACCTTAAAGACTTTTTACAGAAAGAAAACAAATCAGGGATGTTTTTTGAATATTCTGCTCTTCTTCTAGAATACTATGAAAGTAATAAAAAGCTTCAGGAGCTGAATACTCTGCAACTAGGGAATAATATACAGAGTGATATAAAAACGTTAGAGAAGTTTAGATCATTATTAAATGATTTTCCTGATATTCCTGGCTTTTTCGACTACTACTGCATTCAGTTAATTCTTAGAAATTTTACTACTAGGTAATTTATTCAAACCTTACAAATTTATAATTGCTTTTCATTTCATTTTTTTTGAAAATTTGAATTTCAGTTGGAGAGAAAAATTTCAAGATGAAAAGAGTTTTGAGCAGTTTATAAAAAGTTTGGAGTCAGATTCCTCCATATGGTCAAGCTTCTATACAAAGGAAGTAAAAGAAGACAATGATAATGTATCCCTACAGGGTTTAACAGAAAATGTGAGTTCTGCACTTTAGCTATTTTCATAATGAAACATTTTTAAGATCTAATGCACTATTTACAGGATAAAATTGAGGCACTTTTTTCTAAACTGTCAAACCCTGGAATGGAAACCGAGAAATTTGATGAATATCTTAAGAGTGTCAATAAAAAAACCATAAATAAAGATGAATGGGAGTTTACACTTTTGGAATATCTAACTAAAGGTAATTAGCTTAAAAACACAAGATTTAGCAAGAAAAAGTATAAAATCTTTTTCTAAAACCTGCTTTTCCCATTCCAAATTTTTTTTAATTTTTTAGGCGTAGAACAAGGGTTGTCACAAGAACAGTTTGTAAAGCTTTTTAGGTATATCATTGAACTATCTTTAATGTTACAAATAGGGATGGATTGTTTTCGCTTATTTTAAAACGATCGTTTTGTTTTTAAACGAAGAAGAAAAACAACAGTTTTTTTAAAAAGATCGTTTTTTTAAATTAAAAAAACAAAGAATTCTTTTTTAGTTTGTGTTCGTTGTTTTGTTAAAAAAAGGTTGGTCGCTTTTAATTTTCGACGATAGTTAACGACCATTAACAATGACTCTTTGTTAACAATCGTTAACAACCTTTTAAAACAAAATACATTTTTTGGTTGTCAACCTCTTAGATCAGAAAAACCTTGGATTTTATTTTGGTTATTTATCTCGACAAAAAAATAACATTTAAAAAAGCATTCATAGACTTATCTTCCTAGAAACATGAAATTAATTGTCATAAAACTCAGATTCACAGGCAAAATTTTTTTTCAAAGACAATTGTTTCGTTGTTTTTTTGTTTTTTTTTAGTTCAAAACAAGAGGTTGGTTCGTTGTGACCCATCGAGTATCGAAAACATAACAATCGATCGTTTTTCAACGATTTAAAAACAATTAACAACCCTAGTTACAAATACATTTATAAAATTATTATTAAAAATTATTTAGTACACAGCTCACATACTCCCAGCACGGGGTGTGGATTGCACTAAATAAAGCGGATCGTCCTTTTCTACAAAAATGGGAAATATGGAAAAATTTTATTTCAACTTTAGATGAATTAAAAAGCCAATCAAAATATCAAAATCCTAAAGGTAGGCGAAGAAATATAATTAGATTAAAGCATAATTTAATGTGAATATTTTGTCTTATATCAATTAACAAAGGAATTAAGGTTTTGACACAAACTCTGATTTTTAGTTCCTTTATGATTCAAATTTAAACCATTCTAGATATGACAGCTGATTTAAAAAATGTTTTGGAAATATCAGAAAAATTGTTTAAAACCGGGGATCCTGGCCTAAATCATATATTAAAAGTAAGCTTAGTATTTTAAAGGAGAAGTTACTAAGACAATATTACAATGTCCTCCTCCAGTTCCCAAGAATTCATTGCTCCAAACAACTATTTCTCAAACCCTGGTTTCTCATCACAAATGGCCTATCTTGATAAATGGGACCCTCACCTTGCCTTTCTTTTAATGTTTAAGGGACTGTAAGCATAATTAGACGTGATCTTCCATGCAAAGACGACAATGCCCGATTTAGAACGGTATCCGTTAAACCTAACTGACTGTTAGAGAGCTTTGTGTTTAAATCTCTCGAAAACCACCTGAATTCATGTGCAACTCAGTGTACGCTGCATTTAGTGTGAACTCAACAAAGTGATCTGTTACTTGTATAGGCCTTGACATATATTACATAGTGTTCAAGAATTAAAAAAGCATTTTTGTAGTTTAGTAAGGGACAACCTTGATCGAACTAAGGTTTTAAGGGTACAACTGTGAATCAGACATTGCCATCTTTACATGGAGAGTCATTTGAACTTACGGTTACAGTTCATTTTAAAAGTAACCTAGTAACAGTTGTAAGTTGTAACACTGATTTTTTAATGTCGCATTTCACCTGTTTTAGGTCACATTCATCTTTGATTCTATTGGAGAAATGTTACCTCCAAAATATAAAGAAGATCTGGAAAATATTATTGCTCTAAAGGAAAAAGACGAATATTTCATACGACTACTGAAAGACAACAAATCAGAACTAGGTTAAAATTCTAATTATTTTAGTTTAAACGAAATTATTATTTTGAATAATTTTTCAGATAAATACTACATGGAGAATATACTAAATAAATCGGAAAAGGAAAAAGCTGCCAATGGTATTTCTAAATTTCTAATCATTTCCAGCCAATTTCATGGAATCAATTAAAAAATGTTACAGGCTTTGCTTGTTCAATAAAGATAAAATTTGAAAATTAAATATATTTTAGAAGCTCAAAATGGAAATTCTAACTCAAATAAAAACTGGGAAGAGTTGAAAATTTATCTAAAAGAACATAAAAATGTTTTAAACATATCAGAGGAACAGTTGAAAGAATTTGAAGAAAAGTATACCAGTAAAAACATAATCAAAATATTAAAACATATTATTCAATGGTTAATGACGGTGAGTACTTGTATTTGAAGGTATATATTACGAGTTATCTGATTTTCTAATTATTTTAGGACTCTACAGAGGCAGATAAAAATACAGTAGAAAAGTATGCACATCTCTTAACATATGTTTCTAAAGCATTTACTGAAATGATAATAAGTGGAGATGTGAGCAAAGAAGACTTGACAGAAATAAATGAACTTTTAGCAGTTGAGGTTGGTCAACTTTTTTTTCACAGTAAGACAATAGTAGAGATACAACAATTGAATCTTATCAGTTTTCAAAATTGTAAACATAGATATCTAATTCCTACTTAATTAGACAAAGCTTTCAAGGGTACCATAGGGAATCTGGCATTGCCATATTTTCATGGTGGTTAGACTTGCTATTATAGTCCTGATGGCAGATAGGTTCGGTCAAATGCATAGACAAAGACAATTCACATAAATTTTATTGTTTTTTGAAAGAACAAAGTTTTTAAGAACGATTTTTCGGAACATACTTTTTAAAAGACAAAATTTTTTTAATGAACAAACCAAAACAAACTGAACAATCTTTCAGTGGGAAAACAAACAAAATAGATGAAAATGAACGACAATTTTGAAAACGAACGAAATCAATTTTATTGAACGATTGAAAAAAGCGAAATGTGTCATTCACAAACGTGAAAGAACAAAATGAAAAATGTTGACCGTGACCATCTCTAACTACTGCATGTTTTCAGAGAGAACTAAGTGGAAATTCTAAGCCTGTAGAAAACTTGACAAAGCTGCAAGATGTTGTTAAACATGCAACTAGCGAAGGAAGAAATTCTGAATTTATTATTCAAAATATTAATAATCTGAATCAGTTTCTCACTGAAAATAAAAACCTACTGATGTATGGTGATGATATTAGAACCAGTTGGATAAAAAACTTTAAGAAACGGGTTACTGAGGTAATAATTGATCAAATGTATATATCTGTTTTACCAAAAATATCTAAGTTAGAACTTTTGTCTTGTGAATTTCATGATATTCCGCAAATAACTCTTTGTTAGGGATCAAGCATTAAATAAGTCTAAAGGACCTTCTTACGATATCTTGATCAAGCGTTCAAGTTTAAGTTTTAAGATTTTGATTAAGATTGATTAATTTTCTCCTCCTTGTTTATTTGCAAGTCCTTTTACATTTCAAACTATAAATTCTGTTACATCAAATAGTCTAAGTTTGAAAAATCAAAGGTGTACACCTTTAGGTTGCAAAGGTATAATGATTAGAAATTGTTATATAGTCTAAATCAATGACTCAATTCTTTTTAAGGAGGACAAGACAAAATTATCTCTTCTTCAAATCGAATTAAAAAATGAATTAGCAAAGGTGAAAATAAATCCATTAATATTTTTTCAGAAACATTTCATTATGGAATTTATAATACTTTTAGCCTGACATAAATGAAGAGAAGAAAGAACAGATAGAAACCTATTTGCTTCTGATTGAAAATATTGTCAACTATTACACAGTGGAGAGCAAAGCAGATGTTGAATTAATTCGAAACCTATCTCCGGAAACAGTATTAACGAAGATGGCAGAAACCTTTAAGAATTTTCTTGATATTGAAACTGTGAATGAGAGCTGGGGAGCAGAGTTAATGAAAAACAAGCAAAATATTCTTGATTTACAGACAAAATTGGAATCATATGTTTCTCAGGTTACTTAAATTAATCCCCTAGTTCTTTAAATGTTTTTTTTTTACAAGAAAATGAGTTAGATTAATGCAATAAAACATCCGTAGAGAGCATTAAATATGTTGCACAGAGTGAGCTTATATTGAATTATAAAAGAATAGGTAGTCCTTTTCTCATATTTTGTAAGAAGAATTGATTTTTTACCTTTTACCTACACCCTAAAAATGTATTGTAAACTGCAATGGTTTTTTGCTCTTGAATCTAGCTGTTCAGAACTTGCTTCTGAGATGTAATAGGAAGAACTACCATTTATACTTTGCTTCTCTGTTTTTATGGCAACTCACTTGACCCCAGGGAAAATTGAAGTATTTTGCCTGGATGAAATGTCGACTTTTAAAAAATTTAAGAAAATCCACAAAATTTTTGCGTTTTACAATTACAAAGAAAAATTGACTGTAAATGCTTAAGAGTTTTCTAGAGTAGAAGTCGTTTACACATTTTATAATCTAACTCATTTAATACTCCTGATGCTGAATTTAAAGCATTGAACGGCGTCTAGACTCGGTTTGAATGTTTTATAAGTGTTTCAAGATTTGAGCCTGCGCTCAATGGGAACCAGTTGTTGTCAGTTTAGTGACATGGTTCAAATTCTTTTAATTTGCCCTCTGTTACGGATTGTTTTTAAAAGCTCATATTGGGAAGAATAGGAGACTTCAACCTCAAATCCCTGTTTTGAAATTAAAACAATGGAACATTTGTTTTAGATTGAAGAATCAGGATCATCTAAGGATGTTAGAAATAAAGATATTTTACTGAAGATGATTTATCTTTTACAATACGCAATCAAAAAGATTGAAAACCCTGAAAAGGAAACAACAGGAGATGATGCAGATATACTTAATTATTTCATGATGGCATCATCCAAAGCAAAATCTGAGAAAAAATCTACATCAATTGATCAAGAACTTTTTAATTTATTAAGTCTGAAAGTTATTAAATTCATCAAAGAACATGGTGGCGATACAAGTGCTAAGCTTTCGAGTGAAATGTTCAAAGACCCCAAAGAATTATTGAAAATAAAAATGCAATTAGAAGAGAAAAGGGAGAAGGTAAAAAATTCAAATAAAAGATCAATCAACCCATTTTTCTGATACAATTTAGAAAAATTTAATAGAAACCTATTCCACAAGATCATGTTTTTAGGTTCAGGACTCATCTGATATGGTTAGCATAAAGAAGAATAATGTTCTGGAAGAAGTTCTTTATTATATAAACATTCTTATGAAAAGAACTTCTGAAACTAAAACTGCACTTCATGAGTCCAAAACTGAGTTTATATCATACCTAGAGGAATTAAAACAACTTCTGCCTGGAAAAGGATTTGAATCTTTTACAGAAGAATGGGTAACACAAGCTGTAAATAATGCCTCTCGATTATATCAGCTAAAGGAAATCCTGGACAAACAAATTAAAAAGGTAATAAATTTCCAAAATAAAAATTTTGGCAATAAATATTTTTTTTACTTCTTCAGAATACTGAAAATGATGAAGGCGGCTTGAAAACGGAGAAAATGAAGCAGTTTTCAGAATATATATCATGGTTAATCTTTCAAGAAACATATACCAATACAAATGTTGATGAGAATATCCCCAAAAGTATGAACTCTACGGAAATGGAAAAAGTCATAACAAAGTTTATTATGGAAAATTTTGAGCACTTGAAGGACTTTTTCGACCCTGACAAAATTGTTGAATTAGTGAAAAACCCTTTACTTCTTTTAAACATCCTGAATAAAAATCTATCCCAGGTAAAATTTTGTGAAGCGCAAAAAAGAATTAAGAAAATATCTGAAATTTAAAGAATTAGAACTTTTGAAACATTGAGATTTTTTTAGATGGAAAAAGGCAATAACAGCAAAGATGATCCTGAGCAAATGAAACTAACAGAGATGCGTGATCTATTATTAAGCATATTAGAACCTGAAGATGATAAAAAAATTCCAACTAATGAACTTAAGACAAAGGATAATGTGGAGGAAATCAAGAAAAATCTGAAAAATTTAGTTGAAGAATATCCTGAATATCTTGAAAGTGGAAAAGATTACTATGATGACAACTGGGTTGATGCCGCTGCTGAAGATCCTAAATTGTTCCAGAAAATGTGGGATAATATTCAATTAAAACTTAAAAAGGTACTTTTTATTGAATTTAGTAAGTAATCTAATTTTACTTAACATTACTCTTATCTAATTACTTTTCTTCCACATTGTTCCATATTTTTGTTGATGATCTTCTGAAATAATTAAACTTTCACAAGAGAAATGCTAACTTTTTTCTATTGTTTAATGGAATATTTTCATTCATTTAAGGCAGGTAATGAAAACAAGGCAGAGCTTGTTAAAGACAAAGTAACATCAATATTGCAATCATACCAACAATCAGCAGTAGAAGATTCAGATGCAATGGAAAAAGATGAAGTTGTAACTACTAAAAATGAGGAATTGGAGGAAAATGATGATGACACTGATGATGAGGATGATGATATAAATGGGGTTCCTAATAAACCTACTGAGGGTGTGAGTGATGACAGCACCGAAGAAAATATTACGATGGTTAATAATGAAATTGAGAAAAACAGTGAAAGTAATGATGAGAACAAGGAGGATGTAGATGTTGATGATAACGCTGACAGTAATAAAGAAAATAACAAGGATGAAATCGAAAGAGATAAGCAGTATGAAAATATTGAAAGTTTATTGGATTCAGCATCAAAAGATAAGAATGAAAGTGCAACTGAAATCATAACTAGCATTGTTACAACAGATGTAGCTGATATCAGTGAAAATGTAAATGACATTAATGAAAATTCTACAGAGAATATGTTTGATTTAGATTCAGAGGTTGAAAAAGAAATTTCAGCTGACAACAATACCAGTATTACTACAACTGATGAAAGTACTGATGTAAGTACTACAGAGGGTTTACTTGATTCAGAATCAAAGGTTGAAAAAGAAAATTCAAGTAAAGACAATACCAGTATTACTACAAGCAATGAAAGTTCAGATGTAAGTACAACCTCAGAGGGTTTGTTTGATTCAAATTCAAAGGTTGAAAAAGAAAGTTCAGCTAAAGACAATACCAGTATTACTTCAAGTGATGTAAGCACTGATATATATGACACTTACAGAAGTTCTACAGAGGGTTTGCTTGATCTAGATTCAAAGAACAAAAGTACTAAGGAAGAAAGTTCAACTGAAGACACTACCAGCATTGCTACAACTGATTTAAGTGATAATGATAACTTTAAATCTGATGCTTATACAAGTTCTACAACGAAGTTGCCTGATTCAGAAGAAAAGAACAAAAGTTCAACCAAAAACAAAACCAGTATCACTACAACTGCTGAAAGCACTCAAGGAAGTACCACAGCAGGTTTGTTTGATTTAGATTCAAAGGTAGAAAAAGAAAGTTTAACTGAAGACAATACCACTTATACTACAAGCGATGAAAGTACTGATGTAAGAACAACAGAGGGTTTCCTTGATTCGAAATCAAAGGTTGAAAAAGAAAGTTTAACTGAAGACAATACCACTATTACTACAAGCAATGAAAGTACTGATGTAAGTACAACAGAGGGTTTACTTGATTCAGAATTAAAGGTTGAAAAAGAAAGTTCAACTGAAGACAATACCACAATTACTACATCTGCTGAAAGCAATGATGTAAGTACAACAGAGGCTTTGCTTGATTCGAAATCAAAGGTTGAAAAAGAAAGTTTAACTGAAGACAATACCACTTTTACTACAAGCAATGAAAGTACTGATGTAAGTACAACAGAGGGTTTGCTTGATTCAGAATCCAAGGTTGAAAAAGAAAGTTCAACTGAAAACAATACCGCAATTACTACAACTGCTGAAAGCAATGATGTCAGTACAACAGAGGGTTTGCTTGATTCAAAATCAAAGGTTGAAAAAGAAAGTTTAACTAAAGACAATACCACTATTACTACAAGCAATGAAAGTACTGACGTAAGTACAACAGAGGGTTTACTTGATTCAGAATCAAAGGTTAAAAAAGAAAGTTTAACTGAATACAATACCACTATTAATACAACTGCTGAAAGCACCGAAGGAAGTACTACAGAGGGTTTGCTTGATTCAGAATCAAAAGTTGAAAAAGAAAGTTCAACTGAAGACAATACAAGTATTAATCCAACTGATAGAAGTGATAGTGATGCACATATGTATGATGCTTTCAAAAGTTCAACAAAGGGGTTGCTTGATTCAGAAGCAAAGAACAAAAGTGTTACCGAAGACAATACTAGTATTCTTACAACTGATGCAAGTGATAGTGAAGTGATAGTAAGTGAAGATATATATGACGTTTACACTATACCTGATGAAAGCACTGATGTAAGTACAACAGAGGGTTTTCTTGATTCAAAATCAAAGGTTGAAAAAGAAAGTTTAACTGAAGACAATACCACTTTTATTAAAAACAATAAAACTACTGATGTAAGTACAACAGAGGGTTTTCTTGATTCAAAATCAAAGGTTGAAAAAGAAAGTTTAACTGAATACAATACCACTATCACTACAAGCGATGAAAGTACTGATGTAAGTACAACAGAGGGTTTGCTTGATTCAGAATCAAAAGTTAAAAAAGAAAATTTAACCAAAGACAACACTAGTATTACTACAACTGCTGAGAACACTGAAGAAAGTACTACAGTGGATTTGCTTGATTCAGAATCAAAGGTTAAAAAAGAAAGTTCAACTGAAGACAACACCAGTATTAACCCAACTGTTGGAAGTGATACTGATGAACATATACAGGATGCTTTTAGAAGCAAAGATTCAAAAGCAAAGAACAAAAGGGTTACTGAAGACAGTACTAGCATTTTTACAACTGATGTAAGTGAGAGTGATGAAGATATATACGATGTATACACTACATCTGATGAAAGTACTAATGTAAGTACAACAGAGGGTTTTCTTGATTCAGAATCAAAAGTTGGAAAAGAAAGTTTAACTGTAGACAATACCACTATTACTACGACTGCTGAAAGTACTGATGTAAGTACAACAGAGGGTTTGCTTGATTCAAAATCAAAGGATAAAAAAGAAAGTACTACTATCAATAATACTATTGCAGAAGAAGACACAGAAGTAAATATAAGTAGTCTTTTTAGAAGTAGAAACATTTCAAAAACAGAAGAAAATGAAGAAAATGACGACATTCCTGAAAGTCAGAAAGAACTTCAAACTTCTGAAAATGAGGCAATAGAAAATAGTGGTGAGGACATTGATGAAGATAATGATGATGACACCAATGGGGTTGGTAATGAGCCTCCTGAAGATGGTAGTGAGGAGAGTACTGATGAATATTTCACATTAGATATTAATGAAAGTTCAATAAAAAAATTAGAACTACAGAGAGAGAGAAAAAATTCCATGAAGGATGATAATATTGAACTTAACAAGGACACCACTGAGAATTATAAATTAAGCAAAGAAACAACAACAGACTACAGAAAATTAAAGGAGACAAGTGATAACAACACTGATATTAAATTTGAAGAAATTTCTTATTATGGAGATTCATATAAAGCTGAATTTGAGAAGGAAAAAGATCAAGATGACACTGAGAAAAAAAATGTTAAAAAACAAAACAATACAAATAATTCAGAGAAGTACAATAACTTAAACAAGGAAACTTTAATTGAAAGCGATTCATTGACAGACGAAGAGCTTCAAAGTTTGACAGATGGTATTTCAGAATCAACCAAAGATGATGATATTAGTGAAGATTTTTATCCTTCAGAGAATGAAGAAGTTGTTGAAGAAGTGATGGAAGTTTTTACTGAAGATAATCAAGAAGTTGGAGACATAGCGCAGATAAATCTTGATAAAATCTATGAAGATGAATCACAAGCAGAAGAAGAAGCATCAAGAATTGATGAAAGTTATTACAAAAACAAGATTTCAGAAAAAAATGTCAAAACTGAAAATGATAAAAATGAAATAAGTCATAAGTCAAGAGCAAACAAAATAGACGAAAGAGCTGGAAAAAATGAAACTGACCAGAAAGAAGAGGTTCAACCAACCAAAAGGGGTTCCATTAGAGAAAATCAAAATTCAAGCTTTGAATTTTATAACCACAAAAACATTGAAAAAGCATTGTTAGATAATGATAATGCCCCAGATTCATTTCAAAACAAGACTAACTCATACAGCATGATGCAGTATTATGAAAATTATGAAACCAAAAAAGAACAAGAATATTCAGGAGCTATCGATGCTTCAAAAGCACCTGAGATTAAAACGACAACACCAGAGTATGATGATGATGTTTTAGGAAAGCCAAATCGAAAAAGTACATTACCTTCAAGTTCTACAGAAAGAACTCTGATACATAAAAATCAGAACTCAGTAAGAAATTCTGAAATACCTTTAATTGGTTTTAACAGCTTTAGTTTTAACACCCATGTTAACAAGAGTAATATCAAAACAACTACAGAAAACTTAGGAGAAGATTATAAACAAAAAAGATATGAATATGAAGAAGAAGGGTTTTATGGAGATGATGCTTATGAAACATATGATCTTGATAAATCAATTGGTGATGGTGGAACAAATGATAAAGGGGATATTTATGAAACAAGTAATAGTTATGAAATAAATGAGGATAGTAGTGTATATGAAGAAGAAGAGGCTTCTGATACAAATGAAGTTTATGGTTATGAGGATAAAACAGTAAAAGCATATGATGATAGAAGTGAAACAGAAGGGGACAATTTAGAGGGGGAAAATGACAATGAAGAATATGGTTATGAGGATGAAACAGCAAAAGCATATGATGATAGAAGTGAAACAGAGGGAGACAATTTAGAGGGGGAAAATGACAATGACAAGATCCCAAACTTTAGAGATGAATCAATTTCTAATGATAACGATTTAATTGAAGATACTTATAACCAAGACAATTTTGAAGCAGAAGAAGACAATTCTGAGACCAGTTTCAGACCATTAGAACAATTTGTTCCAACAACCACTGAATTGGAGGAATTTGACTATGCAAATGATGGTCTCACAACAACTGCAAAAGAAACCAACATTATTTTGACTAGAAACTCAGTCAGTGGATTGGAGAATTTTGATTTAAAGACAACAAATATACAGCAAGAACCAACCTCAACTGAAACTTCTGAGTTGGGCCCGAGAAAATCAAATTTAACTACGCTTGGATTTGAAAGCTCTAACTTTAAACAAACAGCTGAAGTTTTCACATCAACAATGCCAGAAACGTCTACTGAACTATCTGATATTGCTCCAAAGAAATCAAATCTAACCACACCTAAAGAAATGAATGGTACAACCACAACAACAACTGAAATTTCAAATATTAAGCCAGGAAAATCTAAATTAACCACCACACGTGCACCGGTAGGAGAAACCACTGCATCAATTCCCATAACTGATGTGGGAAAATCTACAGTTACATCAACAATTACAGATGTTTTACAAATGGTCACCTCAAATTCTAATGAAGAACAAGACAACAGAAAAAAAACAATTTCTCAAATGATTAAATTTCTTGAAAATATGCTATCCTGTAAAGGGAAAAGGTTAGTTAAAGTGACCTGAAATGTATGGAACTGAGTATGCAGCATCGTAGAATTTATGTTTAGGATTCATTTTTATTTTTAGGATTCATTTGAGACTTAGAAAAAGTTTCCACATGCATAATTACTAAGTTTGAGTGCAAAGTCGATGTTCAAAATCATGAAATAGGGTGGGTATGTCTTCAGAATCGTTTTTTTAATTATTACATAACGATGATGAAGAAATAAGTAAAAATTATATAGTAAACTAATTTAATATTTAGGAACATATTTCTCAAAAGAAATTTGTCAATAAATCAATGTTAGAATCAATTATTTCATTTTCCTCATTATATTGATTTTTTTATTTTCTATTGATTTGTTTGAAGATTTCTACAAATTCTTCAAATGTCGTCTTTTCAATGAAAATTCCAGAAAATCTGCAGAAAATCTTTGTAGATAATGAGAGATTATAGAAACTAATAATTGAATAAAATTATTTATTTTTGATGATAAGCGTTAATTTTTATTTACTTAACCTGTTCATAAAAATCTTGTTAGTTTACTGTACAATTTTCGTCATATTTTTTGTCGTCGTTATTTAATAATTAAAAAAAACTGATTATTACCATTGACGTTGCGCTCAAGTTCAGTAAATACACGTCGTAAAAACGTTTTATATGTCTCAAATAAATCCTAAAAACTTTGTCCACAATACTACATATTCAGTTCAAACTCCATACATTGCCGGTCACTCCCTTTAAGTCTAATAATGAATTAAAACCAAACTGTTTGATATGAATTGTTCAGGAATTGTAAAGCTTGTCCAAAATGCCAGGAAAAGAAGGAAGATGACTGCCTGAGTGTTGCAAGTATGCATTTGAAACTAGAGATGGGCACGTTCGACTTTTTTCGTTTCATTTTGGTCGTTTTTTTCATTCGTTCAAAAAATTGATTTCGTTCATTTTCAAAATTATTGTTAATTTTTCATCATATTTTGTTCTTTTTCTCCCAGAATGATCATTCAGTAAAATCTTTCGTTCAGTATAATTGGTTGTTTAATGAAACCGTTCATTCTGTAACAAAAGATATTTTTTTTTAAATCTGTTCGAAAAAATAGCTTGTTCAGTAAAAAATGTCATTTTTTATTTTGTTTCAAAACTCGTTCGTTCAGTGAAAAAAAGCATAGTTTTTTCCAAATCTTTCATATTCAGTAAAGTTTGTTCAAACGATTTTTAAATCGTTTTTCGTTTTTATAAAACGATTTTTTTTATTCGTTCGATCATCTTTTTTTTTTGACCGACACCCTTTTCAAAAAACGATGCCTATCTCTGGTTGAAAGAATACTATATATTTTTTTCTACCAAATGTCAAGGATGTCAAGGATGACGGACTTTTCCTTATTTATCTAAAGAACCGCGCTATAATAGTTGCACACTTTACTTACAAGATATTTGATATAATTAATATATAGATGGAGTATAGGAACTTTGATGCAGAAATTAATTGTTTATGTTTTGAGTTAATTTAAAAGAAAATCTGAAGTCCGAAAAAAAAGTGCTGTTTTTGCATTGTCAAGCGTAAAGAATATTTTTAGAGTATTTTTATTATTTGTAGAATACGGGATTTCCAGACTTAGTTCGTAAGCTTTTAAACTTGGTTGTACATTTCAGTTTTAGCTTCTAATCTATAAACTACACAGAACAGAGATTAGAATAGAAGGGAAATAATAATATCCCTCAGTATAAATTGTTCAGCCCCATGAGTCTGAAAAACTGTTCACATTGTACAATTTTTGTAAATGTTCACAAATTATACGCAATACATCATAGTAAAATGGTATGCTCCCAGGGCATATCTTTTACAGTTTCTTCTTTTTATAAAATTTATGCAGGTATGTACTCGTGAATGTGAAGTAAAGCTTATGCTGAAATGTACTCAGGAATGTAAAATAATGCTTATGCTGAAATGTACCCGGGAATGTAAAGTAGAGTTTATGCTTAAATATACTCGGGAATGTATAAAGTAGAGCTTATGCTGAAATGTACCCGGGAATGTAAAGTAGAGCTTATGCTGAAATGTACTCGGGAATGTAAAATAATGCTTATGCTGAAATGAACTCGGGAATGTTTAAAGTAGAGCTTATGCTGAAATGTACCCGGGAATGTAAAGTAGAGTTTATGCTGAAATGTACTCGGGAATGTATAAAGTAGAGCTTATGCTGAAATGTACCCGGGAATGTAAAGTAGAGTTTATGCTGAAATGTACCCGGGAATGTATAAAGTAGAGCTTATGCTGAAATGAACTCGGGAATGCATGACAGCCTGATGAGCTGACAAAGAATATGTTTAAAGAAAAATTAATAATTTTCAAGAACATTTTTTTCTTTAAAAAGATGTTCCAGGCCCCAAAAGTTTATAGCACAAATATGTGAAGTACACCTGCAGTATGGAAACAGTACAACAAAATGGCGGTTTTACTCTTTTTTCGATTTAATTTTACTCTACACTTATCTATTTTCTTTGATAAACTACTTGATGTCTTTTATTTTAAAAAATCTATTTTTTTTCTTGATATTAGAATGCGAACCAGGAAGCAGACGACTTCAATATCTATCTCTAAATTGGAGGGTTTACGAAGAGCTAAGTGAGGTAATTAAAAGACAATATTTTTCAAAATTTTAAGTTTTCCATAGACACTTGAATTTTATGATGAAGGTTTTGTCTCAATATAGTTTAATGATGATTTACAGATTATCTTTGATTTTGAATTGTTAGAAATTTCAAAGGAAATATATAAAACAACAGACATATAATACAGTGATAACCATAAAACTCTGAAATAGGAAGACGACTTTTAGACTCAATTTATAACTTTAAATAGTCCAATGAGCAATGAGCATGGGACACAGAAATTGTGCAGTATAAACAGACACATTTCACTTGATAAGTGGTTTAATAAGTGTCTAGTAAAACTATTTGCTTTATAACAACACCATATACACTTAAGTATTGCTGTAAATTGGCCTTCCTTTTCCAGAGGTTTCTGGTATCACTGTATATACAACAGACAAAAGAAGTATATATTTGGACAATATAGATTCAAGTGAATAAATAGAAATCTGCGGTTTTTAAAAACGGACCATTCCTAATTCATACGATGAAAAAATTAGCAGACCCCGTGTGGGAAGTACCAAAAAGTTTCGACTGTAAATTGTTTAAAGAAGAGATCTAATATTTTTGTATGTAGAAATGCCACTGGGAACCATGACGATATTAAAAGACTGTAAGACCTTACATGCAAAGATGGCAATGCCCAATTCACAACAGTATCCGTATTAGCTTTGTCTGGATTAGATTTCAATGTTTAAAACTGATTATCTTCTAATGTGGTTTCCCTACTAACTTGCGCATTTCTACTGCGGGAAAACATAGAGTAGTAAAACACCTTAAACATTGAAAAACAACAATATCTCCCACATTATTGATCAGATCAAGGTACTAATGCAAGGAAAGTTCTTTCAGAGGTGTACTCTAACCTTTCTCTGTGTACGCATTTTTTGTACTGCAATGTACTTTCTTTGGGCGGAAAAGTAAACACAAGACGGATGTCACAGACTGACATGGAATCCATTTTCACAAAAATAATCTATGAAATATTCTGGTCATAGGCAGCTATTATGTGAATTTTCAAAATTATCAAAATTAAATGCTTTTATCCTCCTCGGATAGAAAACGAACACTGATGCATCTATTCTTGTTTACAAATTCCGCTCAGAGAGAACTGATTTCAATATATGTACGCAGAGTATTCGCGACCGCAATTAACTTTCCTTGCATTAGTACCTTGGATCAGATAAAGGTTTAAAGGGTAAGGTTGTAAATCGGCCATATTTGGCTTACAGTCCCTATTAACTTATCACTAAACTATTGAGACACGAACCTCGGTTAAAAACCAAGTACTTCTGCTTTATGATTAAAATATAATTTAAAATTGGAACCCTAATTGTTTTATAGACTGGAGTTTGGGAGGTGAAAAACTGCCCTGCACAATCTATATTCTGGAATAAGTATCAATGTTGTGTAAATATTAAGGTCCATCCCTGTTCAGCAAACTGTATCAATGCAAATACTATCGAATAAAAATATTTTCAAACCTTCACTTTTTATTCACTTTATCTTAATATATATATATATGTATTTGAAGTATATCCATAAACACAGTGTTTCGTCCTGTTAGGACTCATCAGTATGGCTCAGTTTATCAGTTTTTGCAGTTGGGGGGGGGAAATCTACCCGGATCAATCCTTGGATTATGGATCAAACACGCCAAATTATTGTGCCATCAAACCCTGATGATTGAGTAATAATTAGGAACCAGAGAGCTCAACCAACTTGAGGGCCTTGTATAATACACATATGCAGCCTGTGTAACAGCTGAATATACCATTATTTATATTATCAAAAAGCAAATAGTCTTCGAAGTAGCTTAAAAATCAACTTATCAAGTAACATTGGTCTGTGCGCACTGCACAATTGTTGTGTCTCGTGCTTTTAGGACTCTTATTTTTAATTCATAAATTTTGCCTTAAAGTCGTCTTCCTATTCCGGAGTTTCCTGGTTCACACTGATAGCAATTAGGTTTACCCTGCTCTGTCTGGAATTTCTTCTGTAAAAATAAACCCAATCAACTATTGATATTCCCGTGTTTCTGCCGAGTTCCCTGATCAAAATTTGGGGCAAATCGGTTCATGAGTTTTGATCGGATATCCAAGAAAACAGACGAATGGTATCTATTTCATTTGCCATAACGGTTACACCTGCCATAATTATAATAAATTTTGACTATAATAAACATTTAGAAATCTATATTTAAAAAAATGAAAACAGCTTTTTACGTTTCAGCCATGTGCCACTAACATAAAGGTGCTGCTCATATTGGAAAAATATTATATATGTCGGCTAATGGCTTCAATTCTCTCATCTTGATTCTCAATCCGCAAAGCTCTTTCTTCAAGCGGTATTTTTACCGTTTGTAAACTAAAGTTGGGAATTTTAATGAGAAATTTCGCGCAAATTACAAAAAATTTTGTTAGATTTTTACCTTGTATAAATGATAAAATTATTGCAAGTTTAACTTATATGACTAGTGTTATTTATGGCAAAAGTATTGATTATAACAGATAAATGTAATCATGGAAAAAGCATAATGTCAAATATATGGAAATAAGCCAGCCAGAAACACATCACTGCGATTTAATGGTCTCACGCTCTCAAGCAAAAATCGTTGAGAATTTTGCCAATCACTTTTAAAAACCAAAGCTTTACAGCGCTAAAATGTACATGTAAAGTGCCACAGAAAAGCATAAGTAAGTTAGAGCGAAAAAATCTAAGCTTAGGGCGTTGCGACACTTCAAAATCAGCCCTGTCTTAAAAATTGATGAGACTTTTTATAAGCAGGCTGAATCTATGTGACATATCGAGATTACTATAGACAAGTTTCATATATCGTATAAATTACGGATTATAGATCATGATTAAATAAGAAATAAAAACGTAAGAACTTCTTTATTTGTTAAATTAAAATGGTAAGATAATACAATTTGTTTCTGGTCGACACAGTTTAATAATATAATAAAGCTCTTCGCTGCCTATACAGGGGCGGATACAAGGGGGGGGCGGGGGGACCCCCCTGACAGATTCAGAGAGGGGCGTAGCCCCCCTCCCCCTGAGATTTCGAGGCAAAAAATGTTCCTAATTTTTATAAATGTTATTGTTAACGATAAATTTAGAATTAGAAATTTGTAAGAAACTAGACTTTAGTTATAATATTGTTCATCTAGTAATGTTCCATAATCAATACTCATTTATCAAAATTGTAATATTGTTCATAATTTTCATGTATTTAAGTATAACTAGTAATTTCTTTTTGTTCTTAAATTGATAATGTTCCTATTATTGTTCGATCCTGTACCTTTGTCCGACCCACCTTAAATCCCTGTCCTAATCCTATATTTTTGTTCCTAATTCCTGAACAATCTGATTATTGTTCCTAAATCCCTGTCCTAATCCTTTATTTTTGTTCCTAATTCCTGAACAATCTTTTTATTGTTCCTAAATCCCTGTCCGAATCCTTTATTTGTGTTCCTAATTCCTGAACAATCTTTTAATTGTTCCTAAATTCCTAAATTTCCTAAATTTCCTAAATTTGTTCCTAAATTCCTGTTCTAATCCTTTAATTTTGTTCCTAAAACTTAAAAATCTAGTTTTTTAGTCTTTAGGCATTAATTTTGACTCTTTTTGAGTCTTATAAGTCAAAAAAATTTTTGGCCTGCGGCACGATTTTTATTTCCTAATTATTCATTTTTTGTTCCTATAAAATCTTGTCCCCCCCCCCTCACTTAAATCCTGTATCCGCCCCTGTGCCTATATATGTTTGTATGTTTATATACAGGGTTACCCACAAAGAATGAGACTATAAAGACGACACAAAACCCTAAAAATATGACGATTTGAAGCTTAACTTTTGGTTTCTGCACACAATTGAATATTTTGATGGTTAACTATAAATGATTTAGCACAGAACTAATCCAGTCGAGTCTTACAAGGAACCCCATGAATTCAAGAAAATGTATTAAACAAATTCTGAAGCCTCATCCTTGTGGTTAACCCTGTCTATCTCTCTCTATATATATATATATGTTAGCTATGGCTGCCGAAACGGCTGGTCAATAGACAAAAAATTCAAACTTTTTTTCTTTAAAAAATCGTTAACATGACGACAAATAAAAAAATGACTAACCCTTAAATAATAAAATTACACCTTGTGCATTTTTAACTCTAATAATTTTTTATCTTAATAAAATTCTACAATATTTTTGAATTTATATGATATGGAAACATTTTGAGACTTCTATATTTCTTGTTTTTCATTCTTTCTTCTCAATCGTGCATTTTTGTGTAAAAATATACTAAAAACTTAATGGGAGGTAATTTTTTTAAAAATAAAAAAGTTAGTTCAAAAAACATGACTAGAATAAAGTTTTCCAAGGATTTTGAGATGTTGGAATCTTCAAATCCACGAGAATGATGTCAAACATTATTTAGGTTCAAAATTGAATCTCTTCTGCCTCCAAAATGGATAACTTTCACAAATAAAAATTTATACCAAAGAACATGGACCATGTTCACGCGAAAAAAAATAATATTGAAAGGACGAGGATTTCGATGTGGTTCGGACGAGAAATGATGAGAATGTGGTTCGGACTAGAGATTGATGTGGTTGGCCTTCCTCCCCTCGGTCAGGTTAAGACCAGTATGAGACCAGTTAGGTAACCAAGGGAGGGAGTCCAGAGTTCCTCAAATAGTAATCACCGCCACCCAAATCTGTTTTGTCCAATATTTTGCTATTTATTTTATATCGCGATGGTTAGCCATTACGGAGGCAGAAGAGATTTAAGTCTTACCTACATAGTTTGACCATTCTCATGGGAATTTGAAGATTCCAACATATTATAATAATTGCAATACTCTAGTATCAATATTTTATACCTTAGCGAGACCAGATTTAAAAAAATAGTTTTATCTTCAAAATTGGAAACACAAAATAATCGAAGGACAAGGATTCCGAGGTGGCTCGGACGAGAAATTTTTGTGGTAGGCCTTCCTTACCTCGCTCACCGAAAGCGTACCTGCGTACTTGCCGCAACTTTTTTATTTATTTAACCGAAATTTTTTTCTGAGTTATACTCGTATTATTCTTTGTAAATTCTAATTATACCCATTTCAGAATTGATCTTTTTTTGGATTGAAGATACAAATAGTTAGGTATATATAGAAATAAATTGGGTCTCTCCTTGGACTCGCCCCCCGGTGCCTCCTACCAATTTTTGTACATGACCTTGATTTCAACTTTTTTCATCAAAAAATTGTTATTTTGTTATATTTCAGAGTTAGGTTAGGTATAAAGGACAATTTCTGGGCCGACCGCTGCGGCTAGAGAGCCGTGTGATGCAGCCAGAACAGGCCTTCAATTTCAACAATTTTCAACAAATTTAGTATATATTTAGGGTTAGGTTAGGTTAAGACACTTTCCGGCCCGAGTGCTGCGGCTAGGACAGGCTAGGGGGCCGAGCGCTGCGGCCACGGGTTAGGTTAGTTAAGACACTTTCTGGGCCGAGCGCTGCAGCGAGGACCCGGGGGCCGGGCGCTTTTAGGCAAACATTTTTACAGTAGAAAATAATCTTTGTTATCAATAAAACACACACATCTTTCACATCTTTATTCTCAAGGATTTAACACTTAATCATATTTATTGATTAAAAATGAAGTAATATGGGTCAGATATAAAAGGTCTATAGTAAATTAAAATGTTAATTGATATATAATGAGACATCTATGAGTAAAGTATTGAACTGTTAATAAACCCAAACATTTGGGTTCATCTGATCATTGGACGATTTAAATAAATCTCTAAATTTACATCTCTAGACCAATTACAGATAAAGGATTAATTATAAGGGGATAATCTAATTTTTCACAACACAACGTGGGTCCTAAGCAGATGATAGTTCTCTACCTTGTGCTCAGTTAGCCGTACTGTACACTTACAACTGTTTATTAATATTGATATAAATTGGTTAGGCCAGAATCAACTTAAAATAAACGAAATATACAGTACGTTCTCGGTATAGTTTATGGCCTTTAAAATTGGTAAAGGATTAGCGTACATCATCACTCTATACACTATAACCTCGTTGGTCCTAAGCTGTTAAGAATCAATATTCAAAAGCCATTTTCGACTGATCCATGTTTCAGGGTTGAAGGAATACAATGGAATTAACTTGTTGCAGTTGATCTGTTAAGTCTAAAGTATGACTGGTAGACCCCGTCGTGTCCCCCCACCCCCTCCCCCGGGGTTCGGTGACGATGAATATTACCGTTTGTACGGGAAACCGGAAGAATATCAGAAATACAGGTAAACTATTTATTAATATGTGTAATACAATTCGTACATTTTTTTCTCTCTTGATGATTATTGTGGTTCCTTTATTAGTCCAGATTTATAGCATATTTTTAGGGAAGAGTTGAGGGGAGAGGGGGGGGGTCTTAAGGACAAATTAGAAAATATGTTTCCATTTGTATATGATAAGGGGCCAACAAATTTCTAAAGGGTTAATTTGTTTAACTTGACAATATTATGACACCCCCCCCTTGCCTTTGCCCCTGAAGGTTTATGATCTTGTCATGCACAGGAAAGAACTTGAAAGGGCTCGGATACGCGCTGAAGAAGTATCTCCACCCCAACATGAGGAATATTATGTTTACAGAAGGTTTGCCAGGTAATAATTTGTGTCTTTACAATTTATAGATTTGGGATTACGATTTTATTGGATTTCATTTAGCATGACCAGCCAATGTTGTTTTTGGAGACTCATTTTCTTGTTTCTCTTGTTGTATTTTTATTCTCACGTGTCTCGTTTAAACAGTCATGTAAAAAATACACGACAATTTTTATTGAAAACTAGGTGTACACTGTTTCTATTTTGTTTCAGCCATGAAGAGAGTTATGATTATTATTACGGTCCTCACTCTCAAAGAATACGTCCTGGTGCCAGGTAGGAAATACTGTATCTTGAATTAAGACTGATTTGCAAAGATTTGGAGGAAAAATAACTTATTTGTTGGCGAAGTTTTTCCATTCAGCCATTGATTTTTTTCCAATTCAGCGACAAAAAGCAAAAAAAAAAACTCCAAAAACTTTTCCCAAAAAAACGGAGGGGGAAATTAGATTTTCAAGAGGGGCAGGGGTTTTGGCGATTTTCATAAAAATTATAGTCCTTAATATATAATGATATTTGTGTTTTTTTATTTTTCTATATGCACACATTTTTATCTTACATTGTCCACCCTTCTAACAAAAATAAGATTAAATGTTATTCATTGATGACCTGGAAAAAATATAATATCAGTGGGAAACGGCGGATTGCTCCTCCTCCGCCCCCAGGGTTTGAATCTCCAGTCACACGACGCCGGCCAGCTTCTAGTTCGGGTCGAGGGAGGCCGTCTAGACGCTACTCATCAGAAGATTCAGGTATCTATATTTCCATCTATCTATTTATCTCTCAATATACCTTTTTCTAATCTATATTCAATGTATCATTCAAATTTTTAGTCATGTCTATTTAATTCTTCTAGAAATATTCATTTATCCCTCCATATATTCCTTCTTCAATGTAAATCTTTTCATTCATTATGAGTGGTTACTTCGTTTTAAATCAGTGCTTAGGATTCATTTAATTTTGATCCGGATTCTGGATCCGCATTGAAAAAAATGGATCCGGATCCAGGTCATTTACATTTCTTTAGGATTTACTGAATTTTTTCTGTAACAAAGCAGGATTTTTATTATCATTTTTATTCTTTTTTTTTCGCTTATTTTTATGCTTAACTTGATGCACAATTCCGAGATCAGGAAATTTTATAATCTTTTTTTTTCAACAGTTTAGATTTGGGTTTGGAGAGTAAAACAGTTTTATTTGCAGTTTTTGGCTGATATTTTGCCCCGCAGATCCGCATACTTTTGCGGAACTGGATCCAGGAAGCGGATCCAGGATCCGGATCCTAAGCACTGGTTTAAATTGGTTTAAGCATATAAAATAATATATTTTGAACTTCCTGCAGATGAAGACGAGAAAAGACGAAGTAAATTTGAAAACTTCAAAGTGACGATCAAAGCTAAGGAAGGAGACGAGACTCCGAGTCTCTCTGAGGACTCGGACCAACAATCTAAAAAATCTAAAAGTAAGAATGAAAAGTTAGTAACATGTAAGGGACTGTTAGCGTAATATCAAGTTTCCATTATAGGGGCATGTCCGATTAACATGGTACCCTTTTATAAACTTTGTCCGGACAATGATGAGGTAGATACACTCATTTGTATAGCTGAAGATTGAGTGCCGGGAGACTTGAGGTTTAGTGTACACTGTACACTCGTGCGGTTTCTATATGAATCGGACATGCCCCGCTATAAGTAGAAGGTAACTTGAAATTATGTTTACAGTCCCTTTACCTAAATCCCAGAACCTTCGAAAAAAATATAGTACTCATGAAATTGAAATATGTTCATCTAAAAATTTGTAATTACTCTGTACCACCCCCCTTTACAGTACTCATAGCACGGAAATATGTTTATCTAAAAATCTGTAATTACTCTGTACCACCCCCCTTTACAGTACTCATAGCACGGAAATATGTTTATCTAAAAATTTGTAATTACATGCACCACTTCCCTTTATAGTACTCATAGAATGGAGATATGTTTATCTAAAAATCTGTAATTACTTGCACCACCCCCTCCCCCCTTTACATAATGTTTCTTAGGTGTATTCTATTGTTTTCCGTTAAGTGAGTAAGAAGAAGAGGAAGAAAAAGGAGAAGGAGAGAAGGCGAATACTAGAGAAGAAGTTGGCTGAGAAAGAAAAAGAATTAAAACTTCTAGCTGCACAGAATACAGAAGAGCTTGCTCCTGTCAAGAAGAAAAGTATAAAGGTAAGTAAGAAAAGATGGCCGGGGGATATTTCATAGATAAGTTTTATTTCTAAATTCAGGATCGCTTGGGAATCCCTCCTGGAGGTTTAAACATCAAGAAGGAGAAAGATCTGAACCCAGTGGTTGGAGGAAAAAGAAAACAATTTTCTCCCATCCCGTCACAAATCGGAAATCTTCCCGCCAAAAAACGTGGGCGAAGCAACAGCCCTGTCAAATCTATGAGACGTAGCTTAAGTCCTGGAAAACCCAGAGGACGAAGCTCAAGTCCGGCACGAAAAAGCACGAAACGGAGTAGCCGACCCTTAAGTTCATTAAAAATGCGGGAAAGGAGCAATAGTTTGCCAAAACAACGTGATCACAGTGAACCCTCGTTAAAGCGAAGAAAGCGCAGTCCAAGTCCTCCAGGGAAACAAAGGTCGAGTTTAAGGGATTCAAGTAGAAGAAAACGAAGTGAAAGTTCTCGAAAAAGAAGTGAAAGTCCGTCTAAGCGCCGTGAAGAAAGTGAAAGGAAAAGAAAGTCTACAAGGGATCCATCCAAAACTAAAGCAGAAGAAATGTCAAGGTGATCAGTTTTTAAGCTTTAAAATTTTCCGATCTATTTTTCGTTTGTCTATTTATGCTGAATAATTTAGAGCTGATCGAAGACGAAGAAATCAAGAAAGAAGTCCAATTGTATTAAATAACAGACGGAGACGCTTAAACAGGTATTAGTAGGAGGGTTGACATTTTCTAATTAACTACTCCTCAGCCCTCAATAAGTTTATACGTTTAGTTGGAGAAATCAAATAATTAAACTGGCAATTTCCTCCCTTGGATTTGAATTCTTTTTTTCCTCGCAGTCTGAGGACAAACATTATTTTTTTGAAAAGAGGGGGATTATGCTATCTCAAGGATATTCTATCTTTATTCAATTTTGAGGGAATTTATCACACTTAATTTTTCCCGTTGTAGGGTGATTAAGTGACTTCATCGCCCTACAACAGGGCGAAAAAGTATTTTTTTTTTTCACCCTGCTATTGAAATTTCAAATTTCACAACTAATTTTTCGGTTGTAGGGAGAATAAGTGACTTTATCACCCCTTACAACAGGGTGATAATATAACTTTATTGACCTGCTATTAAATAAATTGAGTAAAATGGAGTAAAACTATAATATTGTAATGGATATCATTACTTTTTTGCACTTAATAAATAATAATACCCATTATCGAATCAAATCAAATCAAATCAAAACAAGAACGTACAAAAGTTAGTTTGCTGTTTTTTTTCTGCTAGTTTGGTTTAAAGGAGAGATAAAGTAGAACTTGTAAGGTAATCGGACTGTATTTATTATTTACACCTTAAAGTATCCAAGAAGCTAAATGTTTTGAATTTACAGTTCGCGTTTTACCCCCCCCCCCCCAAAGCCCCCTGGGGGGGGGGGGTAAATTTTTTTTTCGCTTGTCTCTCTCCCCATAAATTATTTTCTGTGTATGCCTGTGCCCTTTAAATAATTAAATAGATATAATTAAATGTCCAGGAGAAGTTTGAGCCGGGGAAGACGAAGAACTATTTCAAGAACCCGTTCTCGAGGTCCACCAAATCCCAATAGGAGGCGGAAGCGGGGCCGGCGGAGGAATCGGCGAAGAGACCGGTGGAGGGATAGACGCTTGGGCGGAGATATGAGTAAGGCGGAGCTCGAAGATCTTAAAGAAGAAAATAAAAAGATGCAGGTAAAGAACTAAATCACAAAATGTTTAACCTTTGTTTAAATTTGGATAATTATTTTTAATAAATATTTTATGTATAGAAAAAGTTAAAGGTAATGAAATCATTAATTTTAAATCACTTGCTTTTGGTAAAAATAATCAGAGTTTAGAAAGCTATAAAAAAGTTGAAATTGTATCTTTTCCCCAACAAAACTCGAAAATGCCCTTGAGACATTCTGATGTTAATTTCATTAAGTTTCATTAAGATCGGGTTAAAATTAAGTCTCTGAAAGAAAAAGGTGTAAAGTGTTTTTTTTTTAACACCCTTTAACATTAGGCGAGATTGCGTCGAAAGAAATCTGGAGGGAAAGATGACGGGATGATTATTGATCGGTTAAACCGTCTAGCGGGAATAGACGGGATTAAACCTCATAGGAAATCAAGGTAAAAATATATTTATTAGACACAAGGATTTTTAAATCCATTAAATCTGTTGTCAGAATTGCATTTTATAATTTTTAAAAGATTTTTTTGGTGGAGCATAAGATTAAACTTCAGAAACATAATAAAAGATTATCAGAAATCTAGGAGAAGAATAAAATTTAAAGTAACATATCTTGTATTTGTTAGATCTGGGAGCGCAGACACAGACTCAGATGATTCAGATTCAGGGTAACTTTCTTTTTAAATGGTTTACAAAAATTTAAAGAAATATCTGTGTTGTATTGCCATTAATTCTATCATTCTTTGATGTCAAATCTTATCCTATTTCTAAAATGAACCCAGGAAAATCGGACATATTTTTTGTATTGGCTTGGTGTACGGAAAGACGATGCTTACTACATTACATAACAATATGAAAAAGCTAAGATCGATCAGAAAAAGAGATGAAGAATAAGAGATTAAGAACAAGAGATTAAGAATAAGAGATTAAGTATAAGAGATTAAGAATAAGAGATTAAGAATAAGAGATTAAGAATAAGAGATTAAGAATATGACATTAAGAATAAGAGATTAAGAATGGATCGAAGTACTTGTAAGTTTTAATAATAATATCGAAGTTGGGAAAATGCAGACTTCAACAATTTACCTGAATTACCACGGCGCAGATCTTCAGTAAAAAAAGAGATATGCATGATTCACAACGATACCCTTAAGAACTTAGGGCTTAATAATGTAGAAGATATCGTCGTTTTTCCAACTAGAATTTCGTTTCTTCAATTGTTTCGGCATCAGGAATGCGCAATTTGTTTCGTCGCGAAACCATAATTAAATGTTCGGTTATTAAATATATGAAAATCTAATTCACTCTTGAACAGACAAAGCTTCTAAGGGTACGGTTGAGAATCTACTTCATACATGGAGGGTCAATTTGAATTAGGTCTACCTACAGTCCCTGTAAACTACCTTTTATTCAAAACTTGTATGAATGATTTGCATCAGTCTCTACCTATTTCTCATAAACACTTAAAAGGTTTGGACAGTTTCTTTCGGCTCTAGAATTTCTCGGGGCAAATTCTATTATATCCGAAGCCGAATTTAAAGAATTTGAGCCGCGGCTTAAATATGGTTGGTTCAATATCATATTGTATACAATGCTCAATTAACAGGGTTTATGGTGGATTTAAGATACGGCTTAAATTAACATTAAATTCGGACTCTGACCTCGGAACTTTTGTGCTGGATTTCGGATAAAGATGAAATTAATCTTCAAATTAACAAAAGATTGAGTTCAAGTATTGATCTTGATATTCACAAGATGGGAGTTCTCAGCTCTGCATTTATAAATGATAAGAGTTGTTTTCTCACATTTTAAACCCTGCAGGAGCGGGTCGGACTCTGATCGTGATGAAAAAAGACGAAGAAGAAGGAAACCAGTTGGAAAGATGAGAAGTGATAGGTTTGATAATTTTATAATTTTCTTGAGATAGAAATTTATGAATAAGCGTTTACTATTTATAAGAAAGAACACCAGTTTCATTAATGATAACAAACTTTAAATAAGTAGTCGAATTGTTCAAATTACACAGCATTAAATGCTGGGTATGAATCAAATCAAAAAAGAATTAAATTAGTCCTTATGTCTGCATAAGATGGAGATCATTGCTTGATCCCGAGAACAGTTCTGACTTCTGAGCTGAAAACTTTAGAATGGTGGATATCGAGATCACTGCTTAATCCTCTCTTTTTTTTAATCTCGAGACTAACCTAATCTTGTACTTGTATCCTGAAAAGTGTCTAAATTTCACGTCGCGTATTAGTTGAAATTTTGCGCGCCATGTAAGACTTATTTAAGAAACGGGAGGGACTCTCTAATTTGGAAAAACCGGTTTTTGATTTTTCTGTACAATATCCAAAAAGAGTGGATTAAGGAAGAAATTATGAAGGTTCACATTTGAAATTCGGATTAAGCAGTCGGGATTAAAGGTATCCCATTCTAAAGTTCCCAGCTCTGGACAAGCATCTATTTGTTAATTTGATATTTTTCTTATTTTATTCAAAGAAAAGATTTTCCCCAAAATTCTTTCACATTTTCATTTTACATTGAAATTTCCAGGATGGATTTAAAGAAGGAAACATCAGAAGATAGATCAAAGGAGAAGTGGCAACACGATAAATTTCAGGTAAAATGATCTTTTGACTATCAATTCATTTAATTTATTTGAAAACCAGGCTTTTTTAAAATTAAATTCTTATCTTTTTTTTTTATGAAATTATTACATACAAGCTAGGTTTATTATTATTCATAGTGTCATAGATACTCCCGCCGTCTACCTGCGGTTGGTTTAAAATCATTTATTGCCCAAGGAATTTCAAAAACGTTAAATTTTTCTTAGCCTATGTCAACCCAAGGGGGCCAGGTATCAACGGTTTCAGCCAATTTGGTCCAGCTGTTTGGGGCCAACTATAGCTAACATATGTTTACACGTAAGAGAAGAGCTTTATTATATAGATAATCTTCTATCAAATAATTTGCCAGGCGGTTGAGCGTGGAGGAAGGAAAGATGAGACAGAGACATTTGGATCTCACTGGTCCAAGATCAAGAGTGAAAAGGAGAAGGAGGAAGAGAGACGAAGATCAAGGTCGCGGTCTAGAAAGAAGAAGCGTAGAAGAGGAAAATTCTCCCGATCAAGATCTAGATCATCCGACTCATCTTCCTCCCGGTCTTCTAGATCATCCTCGAGATCAAGTTCTAGCTCCAGGTCTAGGTCCGGATCCTACTCCAGTAGGTCTGGGAGTAGTTCAGACTCAAGGTCAAGATCTAGGTCGCCAAAACGACCTGTAGTAGAGCGGGCTGCTGAACGTGCCCTGAAAGAGGTTGGAGGGGGTGGTGAGGAGGAGAAGGAAGGAGTTAACCTAGGACTATCAGGAGCACTCACTGCAGAGGTTAATTCCTTTAATGGGACAGTAGTGAAGTATAGTGAACCTCCTGAAGCAAGAAAACCTAAACGGAAATGGAGACTTTACGTGTTTAAAGGTAATTTCAAACACTGCATCATTTATAATTTCGTTTTTACAGATATTTATTATATTTATTTTCTTCAATTTCAAAATTGAAACCCTAAAAAAATCATTAATGGAGTCATCACAGAAAATTATTAAAGAAAATATATATACCCTCGTAATTTTTAAATTCAAACTCAATTTCTCTGCCTGAGTCTTTTGATCCTAAACTTACTAGTTTCTTAATTCAAAATAGAGCTAGGATGTATATGTATAGTATTCACCCGTCTACAAGCCGATGATGAATTTTAATTCTAGGGCTGACTACAAATGTAGATTTATAATCAATTGATAATTGAATTAGAATTTGCAGGCTGACTAAGATTCACTGATTGTACGTTTTAGTGACCGTATATGTGATTGATTAATTGTACATTTGATTGATTGGTTGTATTTATGATTGATTATAGTTATGACTGATTGATTGTAGTTATGACTGATTGATAAAGTTTTGTAAATGATTAATTGATATATATTTGGTTGATGTTTAATGTATATGTGATTTATTAATATATGATTGATAAAGATATGATTAATTAATATATGATTTATTGATATATGATCAATTGATTGATATATAATTGATTATTATATGTGTGAATTATATATGATTGATTAATACATGATTAATTAATACATGATTTATTAATATATGATTGATTGATATATGATTGATTGATAAATATGTGAATGATTAATTGATTAATATTGATTAATATATGATTGATTAATATATAATTGATTAAAATGAAATTGATTTATATATGATAATGATGATTATATGATCGATTCATATATAATGATTGATATATGATCGATTGCTATATGATCGATTCATATATGATTGATTGATATATGATTGATTGATATATGATTGGTTGATATATGATTGATTGATAAATATGTGATTGATAAACCGAATAATAATTGATTGACTAGGGAACGAGGAGCTACCTATTCTGTATATACACCGCCATTCTGCATATCTGTGCGGCAGAGATAGAAAAGTTGCAGATATACCTTTAGACCATCCATCCTGTAGCAAACAGGTAGAATATACCTTTAGACCATCCATCCTGTAGCAAACAGGTAGAATATACCTTTAGACCATCCATCCTGACTAGCCACAGCGCTCGGCCCAGAAATTAGCTTAACCTAACCTAACCCTAAATATACACTAATTTTATTAAAAATGGTTAAAATTAAAGGTCTGCCCATCCAACCTACGAAATATGCCCATCCGACCTACTAAAAATGCCCATCCGACCTGCGAAAAGTGCCCATCCGACCTACGAAAAATGCCCATCCGACCTACAAAAAGTGCCCATCCGACCTACGAAAAATGCCCATCCGACCTTCAAAAAGTGCCCATCCGACCTACAAAAAGTGTCCATCTGACCTACAAAATTGAGTGGCCGTCCGACAGACAATTAATTATATTTCATACCCTACTGCACAGGCATATCACAAAAGCTGCTGAATAGGACGGATGGGCAAGAATATATGCCCATCCGACCCACAGCTGTCGTAGGTCAGATGTTGCAGTAGGTCGGATGGGCAATATAGGACGGATGGGCAGTAGAGCGGATCAACATTACCGTAAATTAGGCCCAACGACAGCCTAGACCTGAAAGTCTAAGCCGTAAATTAGGCCCAACAACAGCTTAGACCTGAGCCCGCGATTTAAAAGCTTCGGCTCGAGTCTTAATTCCTTAAACGCAGCTTTATACAGGCTGTATAATAATAAGTTGTATTTAGCATGTTGCCCTGCAGTACAGGCTGTATAATAATAAGTTGTATTTAACATGCTGCCCTTCAGTACAGGCTGTATAATAATAAGTTATATTTAGCATGCTGCCCTGCAGTACAGACTGGTTTCCTATACTAGAGAGGATGGAACTACAGGTAGTATTAAATATTACTCCGTAAAAAAACAGAAAAATGAAATAATTTTAATATGTCTAATTTTAACCTAAAAATAGAGACTCACATGATTTTTTTAATACATGTTTTTCTTTCAATTTGAAACCCCTTAAAAGTGATATTTCAATTTTTTAAAATAGATATGAAATCTTTTTATGGAAGGGTACGGAATATAAACAAAGTATTTTGTTGTTTTACTAGATTTTAGTTTTTGATTATAATATACTCTTACTTTAACTCTTCAAGGAGTATGTTCTCCAAGGAACAGAAATAAGGAAAACAGCAGAAAAAACTGTTCAGCTAAAATTAGAATATTATTTAATTCCCAATTTGGTTGGTTACTTCCTATCCCAAAAATCCCTGATAAAAAATGTCAAAGTAATGTTTCGTATAGCGTCACTAAAGACTTTCTTAATCAGATTAGCTGATAACTTAAGAAAACTAGCATCTCTTGATTTGAAGAAAGAGAGCTGGCACTTCCAGCATCTTTTGAAACAATCATGCAAGTCATTTGGGAACAAAATCTCCCGCAATAGGATATTTAAAAATGGAATGAAAAGAATAGTTATTTCTCAGTTTCACAGCATTATAAAAGTAATAAAATTGATAAGATTAAAAATCATTTTATTTGTCTAATAAGTTGTGATGCGGTTAATAAAATTCACAAATCTTAAAAAAAGTTTTCATTTAAATTTTTGTTTTGGTTTGAGAATATTTTTGATATTACTAGGTCGGCGTGTGCAACCGTATGTACTTGATCTTGGCAGTGCTAATGGTACATATGTCAACAATAGCAGAATAGAGGCACAGAAATATGTACAGCTTTTAGAAAAGGTAAAATATCCTTATATTCATCTGTTTCAACCAATATTCTTTATCAAAGTAATACTTATCTATTTAATTCTGTAATACTATGTATATTCCACAGTGTTTAGGATCCATTTGAGTTTGATGTGGATCCGGATTCCGGTCATGAACATTTCCTTAAGATTTACTGATTTTTTTTACAGAAGAACAATTTTTTAATAATTTTTATTATTTTTTCGCTTATTTTTTTTGCTTAAACTTAAAGGGATCAGATAATTTTTGATAATAAAGTTCAGACTTGGGTTTTGAGAGCAAAAATTTTTTTTGCAGTTTTTTGTTGATATTTTGACCCTTGGATCCGGATACGGATCCAGGAAGGCAAAATGTTGCAGATCCAACGGATTCGGATCCCAAGAACTGATTAATTTTTCCAAATAAGTTGTTGGTCTAACTAAGCTTTGATTTTCTTATTCTGTCTATTTAGTCATCTATCCATCAATCAATTTATCTATCTAAGAATGAATATATCTAGAATATATTAAAGTTATAGAATAAATTAAGATTCAATTTTGTCATTTACTCTATCTATCTATTCACATATCTATATATATAAAATAGTAAACTCTAATTAAAATGTGCAAAATGAGCAAGTTGACTTTTACAGAGAAAGTTCAATTTCTAGGCAAATCTGGATTCTTTTGCTAGTATTATGTAACTTCATATGTATATAACTAGTTTGGGCACCCAGCTCTGTCTGGAAATATATAAAAGTCGTTCAGCTCAAAAGTCGCCCCGAATCTAAATCAATCAAAGGATTCATGAGCTATGATCGGACATCCAAACAAACAGAGAAACAGAGATATCTACTACTATATAAAATATATATACTTTGCTTGTCTGGGTGTACACTGAACGTCCGTTTGTCTGTTTGTGTCCAATAAACGTCAAACGACTAAACCGCCCTAATTTTGTACGGGACCTCACATGACCCTAGGGAAGGGTTATGGACAATTAAAAATTTCAAAAATTAGCCTCCAATAAAATTCGATTGTCATTAAAGTTTGAAAATCCACGAATTTTTTTTTATAAAATCCGCAAACATATGTTTTTGTATTACAATGTATACCAAGAGAAAATTGAAATAGAATATTGGCGCGAAGTTGTTTCAAAAAAATTTTGATTGTTGCAATTTTGAAAATCCACGAAAAAAATTATTATTAAATCTGCAAACTTTTGAAATTGTTTTATCAATATAATAAAACAAGAAATTCGTATATATGTTGCGTAAAGCCGGCCAAACGGCTAGACCGATTGGGCTGATTTTTTTAAGGACGCTCATGGGTGGCCGGGGGGTTTTATAGGCTCAAGAAAATTCTGAATTTAAAAAAAAAAATTCAAACTTTTTTTACAATTTTTTTCCACGGGCAGCGCCGGGCCCTTCAGCTAGTATTTTATAAAAAGAAGATGCTCAAATATACAGCCACAAATAAATGTTGAAATAGAAGATGGGCGTGAGAAAGCCTAGTTTCTGTATATTTTTCTATTGTTTTTGCAGGATGTTCTAAAGTTCGGATTCTCGTCCCGTGAGTATGTTCTCCTTCATGACCAGAGTAAAGAGGACGAAGAAGATCTGGGTCTTGATTAATCAATCAATCAATTAATCGATTGATTGATTGACTAGCTTTTCCTCTAGATAAATCAATCATTTGTTGGATTACATTCCATTTCACGACTATATTTATAAGAATTGAATGAATGGTTGAAGGATTATTGTTAAATGTTGAAATATTGAAGAATCAAGATAAGAATGGTTAATTTGAAGAAACCAAATATTTTTCGAAATCATCATCTAATATTTATTTATCTTTATTACATATTTAATGTATGGGTTACTAATTTATTATAATGATGAAGATAAGGAAGTTTTTAAATTGGGTCACATTGCTGATTTCAAATTTAGTTTAGTTATTAGATTATCATTTAGGTTCTTAGGTTTTCTAAAATTTTTACTTGAGGTTTGGAACAAGAGGCGTAGAAGGATGGGTTTTAAGTCTATTTTGTTTGTTATAAATAACGAAAAGATTGCTATTTGAAATTTCATATGTTACCCCCCCCCCTCCCCTCTTTTAGGTGGGGGATAATTTTTGTAAACGTTAGTCCCTTCAGTGCTTTATGTATCTCAGCTTGGACCGGTTTTGAATGAGCGTGGGTACGCAGTCCTTATCTAACCATGTTTTATTTTTGTAATCACAGCCTATATTGTAATTGTATTATTATTGTAAAAAATGGGTTAGTTCTCATCTATGCAATTATCTTGACATGACCTACATTAGATTGTTAATCCTTCCATTTTTGGGTTAAACTTTTACAGAATATATATTTGAAACTTGTTGTTTTTGTATGAATCCACTATCTTTATATGCAGTATGCACTTAAAATGTAAATAAGATGTAACTTTGTTGTAAAATTTGTTTTCCTATTTTGCACGTAGTTAAATGCGAATTGGAAATATTAAACTTTTCAGATTGAAAATGCGTAAACGGGCAGGAATAGGAGCTATTCATAAGAAGAAATTGGACGCAGAAAAGTTTAAGTACGAAAAGTTTACTTTTACTATTTTATCAGTTGATTTTTTCTCTTATTGTTTTTCACTAAGACGTGAAAAAAGTCTTGTAATATATATATATGTATCCTCAATAATTTGAATTACCTTGCTAACATTTTTCCTCTATGTCTTCCATTTGAGCTAACGCTACTCTTTTAATCATGCTGAAACGCCCTTTTAAGTCTTTTGCTGCTTTTATTTTCGTTAGTCTTTCACTGAAGGGTGTAAAATGTAAAATTTTCAAAATTTATTCGTTGTATTTTCCCATGATCTCTTGCGAAAAAAATCAACATTGACGATTATAAAAGTGTCTTTTTGTCATCAATCATATCTAAATTTGAATAAAAAGAATCGTTTCTATGCTAAACCTTTTTTAATGGCAATTTTTCTCTGTATCGCTTAGAGCAAATATAGATTTATATATTAAATTAAACCAGATAGCTGAATGCAACTATGGTTTGAATGCTGTAATAGATTTAGATATTTTTGAGCAGTGGTGCTTAGGATCCGGATCCATCGGATCCGCAACATTAGCTTCTGGGTCCGATTCCTAATAAATATCCGGATCCAAGGGGCTGAATATTAACCATAACCTGCTGAAAATCAACTCTATTCTCTCGTAAACACAAATCTTAACTATTGATGAGCGGTTACTATAAAAATGCTAAATGGATTGGGTATTGAGTTTCAGCAAACAAAAGGGGTAAAAAGAAGGAAAAAAAGAAAAATCAGGATCTAGGACACAGGCTACCGTTTGCTGATTCTTAGATTGGGTCTTAAAGGAAGCATTTAAGCTCATAAATAGCGGCCTCGAGATGCCCGTCTTAGAAACTTTTTGAAAAAATTAATCTATATAATAAAACAAGATATTCGTATATATGTTATTATGTTCCCTATAGCCGGTCAAACGGCTGGACAGAATGGGCTGACATTTTTTTTAGGGAACCCAGGGAAATCCCGGGGGTAACAAAGGCTAAAAAAATTTCAAAATTTTTTTTTTCTTTTTTGCATTTTTTAAAAAAAATTCCACAGGCAGCGCCGGGCACTTCAGCTAGTGTTTTGCAAAAGTATCTTAGATATATATTTTATATAACATAGATATTAGAGAATTTTATTTCAGAGGGAAAGCGGATGCATTAGCGGAAACCCAGCTTGTAGAGCTCAGTTCTCAACTACAGACGTTTCAAATTAATTTAGGCATAATTCTTCCTAGGAGAATGTATTTTATTCGAATAGTCCATTTTTTGCAGTGCTTACTGCTTAAGATCCAGATTTATTGAATCGGTAACAGTTTAGCACTCTGGATCAGGGGTCCATATAATTCGGTTTTTAATTTCAAATGGGGTCGGGGTTGAAATAGGGGGATGTGTTCTGTATTTGGGGTGTTAAAAGATGTAAATATCAGTAATCAATATAAGAGAAAGATTTTAATAAACAGAATCCCTGCAAATGTATGCACTATAATTTCTGCAGTATGGATTTTTTTCTACAACTTGACATCATACTTCCAATTAACAACAACATGGTTAATTTCTGCCCTTCATATCAATTAATTATCATTTAGAATGATATGGACCCCTGCCCTGGATCTGAATCTAATCGGCAAAAAAAACAGAAAAACTGTTCATTTGTTCAAAAATACTAAATGTTTGACCATTTTGATGATCAAAGGGATTAAGGGATCCTGACCAAATGGATTCTAAGAACAGATTTTTTTAAATTTGAAAATTGCTGTTATGACGTTTTACAGAACGACAAAATCCAAGATCTATTTCGAAACAACAAAATGAAGCTTTAGTTTTTGACTAGTTGGGGATCCAGCGTTGCCCAGGGTACTCATAGTTATTTCAGCCGTTTACCCGCACTTGGTCGATTTTACCGGGAAACCAACTAAATTTTTGCTTCATAAGTCAACCCACTCGACTGAAAATTCAAAAATCAAGCCAAGAACATTCTCGTGGTTCTCCCGAGTTCCCCAATAAAAATTAAGGCAAATCGGTCAAGGGTTTCCTGAATTACGGTCGGACTAACGAACAGACAGACAAATTGAGATTACAACTTTATATAGACAAATCACAAAGGAAATTATTGTAACAGAAAGTTTTGCTCGAGAACACAAACAAGAAATTAAAAAGGATCCAGCTTTTAGAAAACATTTTCAGGTGGGTAATCTTTTGCAGGGATGAGAAAACGGAGGAAAAAGATGGAATTTATTTGTAACTGCTAGTTATGGAACTTAAGCCAAACCTTTTTAGGGAGAAAAATATCATATTTTTTTCCCTAAACAGCAATGTCATGTTTCCACCCTTTGAAAAGATAGTCTGATACTACTGTTAATGTGACTTGAAAAAAAATTTGAATTTAAGAAAAAAAAAATCGTAGGGGGGGGGGTTGGTTAATGGTTATAGACCTTTTAAGGATGTATTATCTAGAATATGTGATCTGGTACGGTGGTAGGCGATTTTATTAATACAATGAAGACGACTTTCGATTATAATTTTGATTTATATCAAGCTCTCAATCAGCATAGATATACCTAAAATGGAAACATAGAGAAGATGTAGATTAAAATGTAGATTAAAAAGCATCTATTTAATTACTTGTAAACTTGTAATTCGCAAAAAGCTTGTTAACAATAAAAACTTAAATAAAAAGTCGTCTTCATTACATTGGTAATATAGCCTACCACCGTATAGGAATATAATTCTAGATATATATTCTAGGATATGTGTGCTAGTATAGAAGTAGATCCTCTAGATATATATTCCATTATATGTGTGCTAGTATAGGATTAGAATTCTATATACATTCTAGAATATGTGTTCTGGTAAAGAAGTAGAATTCTAGATATATATTCTAGGATATGTGTGCTAGTATAGGAGTAGATCCTCTAGATATATATTCTAGGATATGTGTGCTAGTGTAGGAGAAGATCCTCTAGATATATATTCTAGGATATGTGTCCTGGTATAGGAGTAGATCCTCTAGATAAATATTCTAGGATATGTGTGCTACTATAGGAGTAGATTCTCTAGATATATATTCTAGGATATTTGTGCTAGTATAGGAGTAGATCCTCTAGATATATATTCTAGGATATGTGTGCTGGTATAGGAGTAGATCCTCTAGATATATATTCTAGGATATTTGTGCTAGTATAGGAGTAGATCCTCTAAATATATATTCTAGGATATGTGTATTAGTATAGGAGTAGATCCTCTAGATATATATTCTAGGATGTGTGTGCTAGTATAGGAGTAGATCCTCTAGATATATATTCTAGGATATGTGTGCTAGTATAGGAGTAGATCCTCTAGATATATATTCTAGGATATGTGTGCTAGTATAGGAGTAGATCCTCTAGATATATATTCTAGAATATGTGTGCTAGTATAGGAGTAGATCCTCTAGATATATATTCTAGGATATGTGTGCTAGTATAGGAGTAGATCCTCTAGCGTCTGGTAAAGGATTCTGGTCGAATATGCTTGAAATAGGAGACTTCTACTACGAGCTTGCAGTTCAAATTGTCGAGGTGAGGATTGACTAGTATTTAGAATTTGAAAAATTAATATTATAATTTTTGAGGGGTTTTTAGAAAGATTTTCTTCGTTTTATAATTTAGAAAACTATAATATTGACAGAGGCAAGATAATTTAGGATAAAATATTTCGAGAAATAATTTTGTTTGACTCTTAACATGAAAATCAGGAAGTCCTATTGTGGAGATTTTATGAAAGAATTGCAAAATAAGGTTTATATTTTATTTTGGTTAACTTAAGCGTATGATAAGATATTTTTATATACCTGGGTTCTACATGNTTCCAGATGTTAATATTTGCAAGCTATAAAAATGAGAAAGGTTTAATTTATAAATAAATCTATTTCCAATTATCTCTAGATATTAGATATCTGTTAAAAGGTTTGTATGGCCCACGCTGATAAAACAGGAGGTCTGATGGAGCTGGGAGATGTTAAACATAAACTTATAAAATCTAGAGGCAGATCTGCTATACATCAGGTCAGGCAGGGGTAGGGAGGGGGTGCAGGGACGCCATGAGCCCAGCCAAATGGTCTCCAAGCCTCTGTATTCGTAGATGAGTAATTAAAAGTACCTGGCGCTACCCTGCCCATTTAAATAGATATTAACGAAGTAATGTATAAAAGTTTTATCTTCTAGAATTACTTCTAGAATATTTATTCTAACGTTTAGAGGGTAGCACCAGGTCATTTTAAATACTCTACTGCGAATATGGAGGCTTGGAGAACATTTTGCGGGGCTCATGGCGGCCCTGCACCTCCTTCCTCACAGGGGTGGTTGACCATTTTATAATTCAATGAGAGATAATCAGAATCAAAGTAAAAATATTAATTTTTGTCTAGATCATTTTCATTTTAATGTATAAATGAAAAACTGGTATTATCTTAATTAACATAAGATTATTTGCGTGAACCACGGTAGGGATATATGTTTTCTCGAAAATTATTTTTCTCATCCTCAAAATTCAGAAATATTTCGAAAATTTGTTAGGTGTTTAGGGAAAAAAATACTTTTCGGATAAAAAGTATAAAAAGGAGAGATCACCCAATTTCACAAAAATGGCAATTCAGGTTGAAAATCTGCCAATTAAAGGGACCCTTCACTAGTAAAAACGAGGAAGATATCGTCGTTTTCTTACTTAAACCGAGTTGAATTCATGACAACTTCCGTCATCAATTTTCAAGATAAAAAGAAGGATTATCCTTAATCAGTCAAAGATTCAAAGGTGGCCGTTGTGAATTGGACTTGCAACTCTATATCTGGAGATTGGAGGAGTACTTTAAATAAAATAATAACGAATTGTTTCAGGAGATATCAACTGAGGATATTTTAATAGCGACGAAGAAATTGAAGGTATTGGGAACAGGGTTTACAGTAATTCCTCTTGGATCTGGTAGATATCTGGTGCAGTCAGTTCCTGGAGAACTCAGGTAGATATCTGGTACAGTCAGTTCCTGGAGAAATCAGGTAGATATCTGGTGCAGTCAGTTCCTGGTGAACTCAGGTAGATATCTGGTACAGTCAATTCCTGGAGAACTCAGGTAGATATCTGGTACAGTCAATTCCTGGAGAACTCAGGTAGATATCTGGTGCAGTCAGTTCCTGGAAAACTCAGGTAGATATCTGGTGCAGTCCGCTCCTGGAGATCTTAGGTAGATATCTAGTGCAGTCCGCTCCTGGAGAACTCAGGTAGATATCTGAAGAACCGACATTTTACAAAATCTGTCGTATTTTTATAAATGGGATATAATGTAAAAAAACACTGAAACACTAAAAATAACAATGTGAAATAGTGATTAATAACAATATGCACGAGTTATTATCATTAAATTCGATGATGAGAAGTCGTAGCCCTTTATTATTACCCCCCCCCCCCCCTACCATCCCGTCTAGTTTGATCTTATTGACATGTGCTGAAAAGATTTTGTTTAGTTCCGATCAGATCACAGTTCTTCAAGAAGCCGAGGATAAAGGAGGTTCAGTTTCTAGATCTTCTCTGAAACAACTCAAATGGGAGGATAGTAGGTATTTATTAGATCTACCCTATCCTTAGAATAGGAGGGCTGGGGATGTGAGCCTGGGCAGTGGGGAAGAGTCCCCCACGGGGTCTCAATGATCCATGATTTTTCATTTTTTTTGCATGATCTAGTGAGTGAGGTGCTGACGGCCACAATGTCCAATCTCATTCGTGGTTTCATTTCTGTCATAATAAGTGAAGAAAGAAAGGTTCGGGTAGGGGTGATAGGCAAGGTGGGAAGGGAGGGGGATAACTATTACAGACAAAATAAGTAGATAAAATAGGGTTGGTGCAATTAAGGAAAAATTTACATAACTTTTAGAACCCAAAGACTTTGCTAATTAAAGATAGCGTCCAGAAAATCTACGCAAATTTGACGCAATAATCCAGTAGTTTTTACGCTGTTGAAGTTTCATAATGGAATCTTTTGGAATGAATTAAATAGTTATTTAAAAGGAAAACAAGGAAACCACTTTAGTTTTTCTATCTTGAAACATTTAATTTGTCCATAGTCCATAAAAGTGACTAGTGGATTTCACGCAACAAAGACAATGAACCTAATTTACAGAATTTATCACTTTTTAAGATGAAATAACGACGATATCTTCCTCATTGTTACCCAGATAAAAATTGTACGATAAAAATTAAATGGTACCGTTGTTGATGGGACTTTTAATGGGTTGGTAACTTGAAATTACATCTATCAGTCCCTTAGAACATTTACTTTTGGTTTGATTGAAGTATATGAAGTGTTTATAAGAAAAAAATTAATGTCTCATATCCTTTATGCAAGTAACCTTGTACTTTTTAACAGCAATCAATTATTACATCACTTCTTCATTTAAGATTGAATGTAATAGTTTTTCGACGCTCTGGCATCTTTCAGCGTGAGGAATTCATATGATCCAATTAAAGAGCCTTCATCCAAGCTTTTTTCTTTTTGGATCTGCTGGTATTGTAAACGCAGACTTTCCTGTTCTTGGTCGGCTTGGTAGTTGGGAATCATACATGTTACTTTGCTTGGCAGTGGCACCGACGAACCTGAATTGTACTTATTAACAGTAATCAATTATCTCATTTCTTTTTCATTCAAGATTGAATTCTCTCTCTAACTGATTTAAATGAATTATTAAAAAATATAACGCCATCATATTTATTCAGGGAGGAGGGGGGGGGGGGCAGCAAGTTGGACTAGGAGGCAGCAAAGAAGGAAAAAAAATATTGTTTTAAATCTTATTATTTTATTTTACTACTTTAAATTTTCAAGAAAATGATGTATAGCATGAAATTAAATTGTCAATTTGCAACCGTATGGACGATTTTGAATTTTTTATTGCGATATTTTTTTAATGAAAACGCAGCAACATTGATCACTCTTACTGAAACTGGTAACTGAGAATACAATTGCCGTTGAAATTTTTTAAAGTTGTTAATTTATTTATTTTGTTTATTTAGGATTGAAATAGTGCTGAACACCATGCTTGGAGAAGGGTTACTTTGGGTTGATGAGAAGGGTTCTGAGACCATGTATTGGGTTCCTTCCATCTTTAGTTCAAAATATCAACAATAGGGGTCTCGTGTCACATCTTAATCGATGTTTTGTTCTGATTTCTTTATGTCTTGAATTCTGACAACAAAATTTACATGCTGGGTTAGTGGTCGCTATTTAAAGTAATGCAGGGTTACCCACAAAGGAGGATACTTCAATGACGACCAACAACACTGTGAACATGGCTTTCTGAAGGTTTAATTCGGTAGTTTAGTTACTTTTAGGTATTTTAAATTATTTAACAAAAAACAGCAAGTTTAATCTGCCAAAATTTTGTATGTAAGAAATATTTTTTTATGTTATTTTGTCTCCTTAAGAACCCTATCTTAGAGAATTCAGATTATTTTATGATAACAATCAAACTATTCGTAACGAGTTTCAAGGCTGACTTTTTAAAGTTTTTTTTCTTCTATGAATCTTATCATTCCTTGTGTAGATATTGTTGAGTTTTAATATTTTTGTTCTTTACTCTCGTATGTAATAATAAGAGCTACCCATTTTCCTACAGTCGTCTCTGAAGTCTCATCCTTTGTGGGTAACCCTGTAGGACCGAATCAGGTAATAAAAATCAATGAAATTTGGTTAGAAACTGTTCAGAATTTCACCCCACCCCTGGATTTTAATGTTGTAATTCTAGTTTACTATTTATGTATTTGATTGTAAATTCAGTAATCAATATTCATTCTGTGTAACTCAACATATTTTAGTAAGTGTTATGTCCTTTTCATTTATTTTAAATGTTTTAAAAATTATATTTTAGTTTCAAGTGTATGAACCGATTTATAATAATGATATCCATTTAGTACAACAATATTTAAACAAAATTTAAGATAAAGTGATAATTTTTCAGAGAAAATATTTCAGAAAAATGATATAACATAACCCTGACGAAAATGCCCCACAAGCGTAAAATACGGAAGGATAATGAAACGAAACTATTGTTTGAACCTGATGATAGTTTTCTGTTCTTAGCGTACACAGGAGTTAGTTCTGATAGTCTCCTGGTACCCCTGGACACACTAGTCACACTATCCATCCTTAAATATATCGGAGCAGATCTCAAGGTTCTGTATTATTGTTTTCATGGGGATAACTTCTTTACTCCGCCTGAAATTTCACGTATTTTTCTAGAAATTGATATTGGAAATTTTATTTTTCACACCAGCGAGAAAAAAGCCAAGATTTCCCCAGTTTAACAAACCAAAAGTTGTACGCTATCGTTCGCGTCATTCGTTCGTTTTTCTTCAATGTTTTAAGGACACTAAATTGTGATTTAATAAACAAAGAAGTAAACCCTTATCTACGAACAAGAAAAATTTAAAGAAAATTTTCTGATCTTTGATGAAATGATTTATACTGAAAGAACCTGGAAATTTCCGAAAAACAGAAGTACTGATGAATACAAATATTTATAATTTTAAAAGTTCAAGGATTTCTTTTTTGCTAAAAATACCATTTTTTATAAAATCATGTACATTGCTAATTGAAGGGTTGTCCTTCAATAAAGTTGTCTCTTTGAAACCTTTATTTATAACGGAATGAGACAAATTCCTGCCATTTTCTTGCTCGGAATACCCACAAATGGCGTTTTTAATGTAATTATACACCAAGGCTGAACAAACAGTTCCATTCTTCAAATTTCGTATTTTATTTATAAACAAATCAAAATTCATAGACAAATACAGGGTATATTTGCTTAATAATTGACCCATGGGTGTTTGTATACTGTATAATAAACGGACATTTGATGTGAATAGGGTCCTGGAAGTAAATTGGATAGCCGTTTAAAAATTATACAAAGAAATGTTCTGTTTTTTGTAATTTAAAAAGTTTAATTTAAACACTTTCTGATAGGTGTATCTTGTCTGTGAGAGGAAAAATGAATTCTCGGTGAACATTAATAAATCAGGGTTCAGGTTCGAGCTCGTAGATAAACTACCTGATCAAGCTTCAAAATGCAGGTAGAATTCGATCCAAAACAAATCGTTATTTCTGTTTCTTATAAGTCAAAAATATTGTTATTCTTATTTGATAATCTAAAATGATTGTTGACAGGGTATTATTATAAAAATCATTCACTTGACTCTGAATGCAAATGTGCTTAAAAATGTAAATCAGTACGTTCAGTGCATGCAATGTACAATTTTTACACATTTATAAAATAAAGGATTCAACATTTTTTCTATTCTTTTGAAATACCAATTAAACAATTTAATAATAAGAAATATAAATAACATGTAAGAAAGAAAAAGAATAAGATCCGCAGCAGGCAGACTCAATAGCCTAGGGCTGTTTTAGCAGGGCACATATCACGTGGGGATGTGCTAATCATTTAATGGAGAGCAGAGAACAAATAAGGGAATCACTGAGATATTTAATTTTGCATAAATTAACAGCAAACAGGGCTCAAAAGAACAGCACAACAATACAGGGGGAAGGGGGTAAGGATGACAATCAACCAGTGGGGCCCAACCCATTCTGGGAAGGTTAAAATTCTATCAGAAAGTTATTGTTGTAGATTACCTGTGTGGTATTTACCAAATCAGTTGACCTGCCTGGCTGGTCTTTGCTCTGTAGTGAGATATGCTGTAAAGCTGGTATCCTTTACAAACCCACTCCTCTCCGAACACAAACAGGTTTTCATGAAATTTGGTGTTTTTTTTGTCTTTCATTGGGTTCCTTGTCGGGGTTTACTCTGTGCCTAGGATGCGGATCCACAACATTAGGGCTTCAAAATATCAACAAAAATCTGAAAAAATATCTTGCTTCAAACCCCAAATCTTAACTGTTTAAAGAAAGAGAGTTTTTCCAAATTTCCTTATCTCTAAAAGGTTCATCAAGTTTTAGCATAAAAATTAGCCAAAAAAAGAAGAAAAAATAATTTTTAAAATTGTTTTCAGTTAAAAGATCATTAAATCTTAAAGAAATGTTTGTGATCTAGATGCGGATCCAGATCTGCATCAAGATCAAATGGATCCTAAGCACTGGGTCACTTTTAATTTAGACCTTTTATAATTTCTGACTTGAATTTAATAATGATTTTATTAAATAGCTTCTTGGGCATCAGATGAACTGTTTATCCGCCCCTGCTGAGGTATCCACTTGGACCAAGTTTTGTGAACTAGAAGTTCCAACCTCAATATCACACTTCATGTCCAGGTAGTAACCTTTATACCACACTTCATGTCCAGGTAGTAACCTTTGTACCGCACTTCATGTCCAGGTAGTAACCTTTATCACTTCATGTCCAGTTAGTAATCTTTATACCACACTTCATGTCAAGATAGTCAAGGTTATAATGCAAGGAAAGTTAGTTCAGAGGTGCGCATCTTTTGTACTGCAGTGTACTGTCTCTGAGCGTAAATGTAAAGTGTAAACACAAGACGGATGTCGAAGCCTGATATCTTTCACACAAAAAATCACTGAAATATTCTGGTCATAGGAAACAATTATGTGTGCATTATCAAAATTATCAAAATTCAATGCTTTTAGCCTCCTCGGATACTTGACTAACACTGATGCATCTATTCTTGTTTACAAATTCCGCCGAGAGAGAACTGGTTTCAATATGCATGCAGAGTATTTGCAACTGCAATTTACTTTCCTTGCATTATAACATTGAAGGTAGTAACCTTTATACATACTTTATGTCCATGTTGTAATCTTTATACAACACTTCATGTCCAGGTAGTAACCTTTATGCCACACTTCATGTCCCAAGATTTATATTTAAATTTACTTTATTTCAATTCCTTGCCCATTTGATGTTTTTTTTAAATTTCCAGTAATGACCCTCACCTACCTGTTGAACTCTCAAGACTTGAAGTACACCTGAAGCAACCTCTGCGAATTCATAACATAAGGGAAATAAACATTCCGTATGCAGAGATCATCAAAACAAAACGAAATGGATGTCGTCTGCTTTTTCTTTTGTAATTTTTAAAACATATGATATATAAATATAATACTGGTTTATCTTTTTGTGTCCTGTAAGCTTAAATTGATAATACCCTTGATCACATTTAGTCTCCAAAATGTCGATGTCGAACATCAAAAGTCCAGATTTATTTACCCACATCTTCGCCATCGGTTAAAATGTTTTCTTGGTAGAAAAGAGGGCGCTTGAAAGCCTAGTAAATGTATATATATTGGTTTGTCTGTCTGTTCTATCCAAAAACGTCAAAACGGCCAGAGCGTTTGGGCAAATTTTTTCTGGCAACTATAACCTAAGAGGAGGTTTTTAGACGGTCGAAATAAAACAATTTATTATATTTTATTTAACAGCAAAATTCAAGACCGTTTAAAATAAATAAGCTAAAACTGTGCTTGACAAGGGGGTATAAGCACTGTAGAAAATATAGTTTTCTTACAGTTTCAGAATAAAATTCTTAGTCTAACTAAAAGATTTAGCAGAAAGACAAGCAGTATCGGCTTTATCAGCTTCAGTTCTGTTTATATTCAAAAATTCAATTCCAAGTAATAAATTGTAAAACTGTTCAACTCAATTTAGAATCTTCTAATTAACGTAAATTAAAGTTTTAACTATTGTTGAATAAAATAATCATGATAACGAACGAACTTTTTTTTAAAAAAATCTAGAAATTTGCTTTAGCCAAAGAAACTTCCCAAACACTGACCTTGGCACTGTGTAAAGTTTGAAAGATTTTTTCAATGGTTACCCTAAATCTTCATGAATATATACATGGCTCGCCTTTCTGCTAAGTTGTTTGTATCCTTTAAACTTTAAAACGGCTCAACCGATTGGGTATTAATTTTTTGTGTCCACAGGAATTTCAAAATTCTCACATATTGTCAATTTTAATTATTTGGAAATCTCCGAAATCGTACTAAATTAATGATAATTTGTTTTTTTTTTTAGGACCTCAATTGATCCAGTATGGTCAGTCGCAAGGAAAAAATTTACGCAAGATTTTAAAAATGAAAATCTGGAAATAAAAAGGAGAAAAAGTTGCGAAAAAGAAAGTTTTTGAAAGTCTTGTGTATCTGTACAATTTTATAATTATGAATTTATGTTTTAACTCGAAAGAATTACATTTAAGAGGTTTTAAAATGGAATTTTTAAAAAGTTTCAATAAGTTGACACAATAAATGTTTATATGGTGTGCAGAAAGAGAATGCAGGATGCGCAAAAGAAAATTTCAGCCAACAACGAAAAAGCATCGAAAAATGAGAGTTCAGACCTGATTAACAATTCAATGGAAGAAAATGAAAATTGCAAGGTTAATTCCAATATGAATGGGAAGAAAATTGAAAACAAGAATGATAAAGATAAAGCAAGAAAGCAAGCAGAAGATATGTTAAATATTCAATCATATTCTCAGGTAAATTAATTTCTTTATTTATAATAAGATATATATTTACAACAAATTATTTTAGAGATAATTTTTATATATATATTTTTTTGTTACTGGGATCATTTTGTACAGGAAATTATTAACACCGGGATAGAAAATATATTGATTAGATTTAAAACTGAATCTTGTTGAGGGTCAGCTGTGACTTAGTTTCAAACCAAATCCCCTGATCGGAGTCAGAATCCTGACCCCGCTCTGAACCCACCGGACCTAACTCCCATCCTGATCTTACAGCACCAGAATTCCATGGCTCCGGATCCCAATTGTATCCCAAACCTTTCTCCGAACCAATCGGAGCTAGCTCCCATTGCAGCCATTTCCCTTGTAAAGGATCTTGGAAATTAGTCACAGTGTACGGCCAGGCAAGATGGTTTGGTTTGGTCTCGAGGTCATGACCGGAGCATCTGGCACTAGCTCCTGATTCTAGGTCCAACCAACAGATGTCACAGTTCGGTTCCGAGCCTATGCTCTCCGGTGAAGCTGTTACTAGACGTCCAAGCTCCGAGCAGTATGAATCCTCACTGTCCGGGGTTGATGCTCGAGAATCCGGAACACAGCTTGTTTCCTCCTCTGGCAGTCCGTCCTCGCTCTCAGAGTAGAATATTTCATTATCAGATCCCCTGCTGCTCGTATCCTGCTGCTCTCCTGTACACTGCTGTACTGAACTGTACGGAGGAGTGTACTGGTTTATTTTAAACCTGTGCATGTTCGAACATGTACTCTCTAATTGTTCGTCATTTACCTCTGCTGAACTCAGAGTACTTAGTACACTTTGCAGTACATTGCTATGGCTGGGTGTGTAGTGCATGGAATGTTGAGAACTTGACGTGTACTGTACTGCATTCTGATATTCGGAATTTATCCCAAATCTATACTGCAGCCGTTGTCGAAAGCTTGAGTTTTGTTGTGTAAATGATGTGGTTTCACAGTGTTGACCCAAATCTGTTTTGTTATTAGATACGTAAGAATTGAGTTGAAGCGCCTGAAGGTCCTTGAATTGTTCATTTATCAGATTATCTGTGCCCGGATGACTCCTAGTTAAGGAGGGGAACACTGCAGCTGCAGGAGCTCTAGATGTTGATGATGGTGTTATTGGGATACCAGTTTCGGGCGAACTTTTCTTTATCAAGGGCTTAAACTTCTTCTGCCTCATCCTCACAAACCAGGAGCCTCCATCTTTAGGGAACAGTTCGTAGTTGTTCATCCTGCAGAGAATCAAGGTTTGGTGCGTACAGGTTGGTGACGGTAGATTAACTAAATGTGATGTGCCGACTGGAAATTGTTATATGAAAACTTGTCGGTCACCATAACACCAGAGCCAGGTCACCTACCTGGCTGCTGTGTGCTGGTCAAAGTGTAGATATGAATTAAATATTTTAAAATCTGGAAAGGTATTTTACAAACTCTTCTCATATATCTAGGCTCCTGCAAAGGTTTCGGAACGGGTCAATAACTAAAATGGGGTATTGTAGAGTTACATATAAAATTAGGTATTATTATGGTGTCATTTCAATATAATATTTTCTAATATCAAATCGCGCTTAAATATTATGCAACACTTAAAGTGCCGAATCCTGATAGCGGTAAAAAAATATTTGCCTACAAATATAATTGAGTTTTTCACATTTGTTGCTTTTATTGTAATTGTGCTCAGCATAGTATTTTCTTGTCTTGTTTCGCTGGAGTCATGAATCACTCCAACTTACTCCTGATCACTCGAAATTATTCCAAATTACTTGTTGTTACTCCTAATTACTCCTAATACTCATGAATACCCATGAATATTTCTATTTAGGACCAGCATATATACTTGGAGGGTCCTGACCTACTTATCTCTGACCTAATCGTGTATTCCTGCCTCTACCTCCTGTTCTCCAACCACAGCGAGATCATGAAGACCTCTCTTCCCCTCCTCTACTCCTGGATGAACAAGGAATTTATGAAATTTTATCTTCCAGCATACGCTTGCGTTAAATATCCTATTTGAGTTGGTATTTTGAATGGTTCTGGAGTAGCCTATAATTACCTCATTTCTAATGATCTTTGTTTCCTTTCAATAATCATGATAACCCTCATTGAACTTGAGATATCTACTGTGGTACGCGTTTATATCAATACTATGAAGACGACTTTTCTGTTGTAAGTTTTAATTTCTAACAAGCTTTTTCAAATTACAAGTTTACAAGTAAACAAAGAGAAGCTATTAATTGAGAGCTTCTAGTCATCTTCATTGTATTGATATATACGACGTCGACTGTAAGTGACCGAATCCTAGTAACTGTTATCTTTTTTTAGTAATAGTTTTTAATTTTATGAATCCAGGTTTAGGTTGGGATAGAGAGGGGAGCTGAAGGAGTTCTTCAGGAGATTCTTCATGTACAAGAGCAGGTAGGAGAGGAGAAAATTTTTGACGATTTGGGGAGTTAACCAACGTACTAATGCAAGGAAAGTTATTTCAGAGGTGTACGCATTTTTTGTACTGCAGTGTACTGTCTTAAGGCGGAAAAGTAAACACAAGACGGATGTCACAGCCTGACATGGAATCAATTTTCACAAAAACAATCTATGAAATATTCTGGTCATAGGAAACTATATTATGTGAATTTTCAAAATTATCAAAATTAAATGCTTTTAACCTCCTCGGATACAAGACAAACACTGATGCATCTATTCTTGTTTACAAATTGCGCCCAGAGAGAACTGGTTTCAATATGTACGCAGAGTATACACGACCGCAATTAACTTTCCTTGCATTAGTACCTTGGAGTTAACAATTTAAATTGGACAGCAAAAGGCAAGTTTTTATATTTCTATTGATTCTTTTTACCAGAATTTTTTTTTCTTCGCCAAATTTACGAATAAACTTGCTATGCGTTAACATACCCGCGGGGGGTGGGGGCTTGAATAAAAAACATTATACACCTCTGAAATTAACATTTAAAATGAAGGGCAAATTAAGATTAAAAAAAAAATTTAATTTTAAAAATGAATCAAATAAACAACCCAATTAAATAATAGTTTTCAAGGAGCCTCGAAGTGTATATTGTGTATCTCCTGTACATGTACCTGATGAGAGCTTGTACAAGTGTGATCCTAAGCGTGAAACATGCAGAACATTTACTAATCAGATGGATATAGACAGGAATCTGGATTGGTGGCAGGTAGGAAACATTTAAAACTATTTACACAATACACTAAAATGTACAGGGTGATTGTTAAAAGTAGATTTTTTTAAATTTTAAAAGCAAAATAAAAACAAAAATGTAATTTTAATATTTATTAACTCATTATGACATGAAATTTGATTAAGGAATTATTTATCTCCAGCATTGTTTATCTTTTTCTGCTTATGGAGGGTCTCAAACAACTTCCACACTTCGAACCCAATATTTGGACAATTTGACTTTTTTACATCACATGAAGGACGAATTAAATATTTTAAAATCTGGAAAGGTATTTTACAAACTCTTCTCATATATCTAGGCTCCTGCAAAGGTTTCGGAACGGGTCAATAACTAAAATGAAAAACTGAAAAATTATTTTATGGAGAAATATTGTCAAGTCAAGCATTCTTGAGTAAGACATTAAAACTGAAAATTACTATAATTACAACGGAGTAGAGTGTCTCAATACAAACTAGTTTCGACAAATTTTTATTTTAAATAAAAAATGATCAGAATCAGAGACAGTCAACAGAAGGAAAATAAAAGGAAAGCGAGAAACTATGACAAGAAGAAGAATCAAATAAGAATTTTCCTTTATCAATGTGTCCAATTTATAAGATTAAAAATAATAAAAAAAATAAATTGTCAAAAAATGAATTTGGAGAAAAATTGAGAAAAATGCCATAGTTTTGACACTGTTTGTCTTGCTTAAGGGAGACATTTAATCTTTTTTTTCTGGTTGTATCCATTGTTTATCAAATGTCAGACAGTAAGAAAGAAATGGAAAGGTTTTCTTATTCAATATTGCGGATTTTTCATCCATTTAAGCACAAATAAAATAAAATCCCCCTGTTCATTAAATAAAGTTATAACTTTTTTACGAAACCCGTTTAGTTATTCTTTATATTTGAATTTCACAAAATTTCATAAAAATACAGAATATTGAAATCGCAAACACTCGTTGAACAATGTTTAACCCTGCAATTTCTCATTCACCTGATAAAAAATTAGGTCTTCTAACCCAACTAGTTTTCTTATTTCAGAACAATTTATTAATCAATTTCTTGAATTTTTCTGTACAGCGTTTTTAAATCACATGGTGTCCATCTTGTCATGGCATCTTTAAATTCTTTTAAATTCCTTAATCTAATTCTAAACCAATATTCTTCTTTTAATCAAAACCCCGGAGCAATCGAATTCGATTGTAGAGAATAAAAAAAACTATAGGTCTTCTAACCCAACTAACATTCTTATTTCAGAACAAATTATAGGCTGTAAAATATGAAAATTTTCTTACAAAATCTTTCTATTTTATTGAAAAAATGTCATTTAATATGATGCATGTCGATTCTGTATAATGTATATTCATGAATGAAAAAAGAAAAACTTTTTATTTAGCCAATTTTTAAACGTGGTAGAAACCCAGAAATACACATTACACATAGCCCAATGCTCATAAAAACATGTTTTCTCGGAAAATCTTTCTTTTTCTTTGAAGTAACATTTATACGTTTCTGTTAAGGACAGTGGACTGGTCAGCCTTCAGAGCTACCTGGATCCGGGTTCAGGGTTTGGAGAGGAATCTGAGATAGATTGGAGCAACCTACCACTACTAGTACATCCACAGGTAGATAATCATCATTACTGAGATATAAACATCTTTGAAACTTAGTCATCAAATTTTCGGACAGAGTCAACTTTGAAGTGTTGCAAATCCCAGGCATTTGGTTCACCAACTCACGCATACATTTTGTAACCCTAGACACATACATTTTAAAGTTGCTACCCGCTTGTTTCTAGCTTAAGTTTAAAAGGAGTAATTGGCAATTTTTTTGTGTAAGAGCGTGGACATCTTGGTTTGCGGTGAACAAGAGAGGGGCAAAAACAATAAGAACCCTAGATATTAACCGTTTCACCAGACGTCTCCAGTCTCCATTCTCCACTTCGTCGTATGAGTTGGATTTCAAGTCCTTCTCACATTTTATGTCTTCCGCCCGTTCTTTTTATCAACTTTTTTTATTATTTTTTTGGGATTAGCTTTTGAACCTAGTTTTGCCTAAACATGCTTTATTAAACTCAACTCCTCAACTTACAATTTTTAAGCCAGATTTAAACCAATTTCGCGATTCTTCCGAGTTCATCAATCAATTTTTGAGGCAAATCGGTCAAGGGGTTCATAAGTTATGATCGGACATACAAACAAACAAGCGGAGATTTCTCCTCAATTAAAATACTAGAATACCATTTGTTGACCCCTTCTTCCATTTCCCCCCTTTCCCTTTGATTCATTTCTGTTCTAAAGTTTCTAAATTTTTAGTAAATACGATATCATGTAATTTATTCACCAAAAGAAAACTTGCAAAAATATAAAGACAGAAGGTAGGGTAGACGAATCTTATTCTAGTAAACCTGCTTACTATTCCCGCAATTAGAAAGCTTTAAAAATTGCCATCCAATGAATTATGATGGTAATGTTACATCGTCTATACGCAACATCCCCCCTACTGAACTTCTGACTTACTTACTTTCCGACCTACTGCAATATCGGACCTACGCCAGCTGTTTATTTTTGTATTATTTGAGGCTTAGGTTAGGTTAAGACAATTTCTGGGCCGCGTGCTGCGGCTAGGAAAGGCTAGGGGGCCGAGAATCGCGGCGAGGACAGACTAGGGGGCCGGGCGCTGCGGCCACATGTCCATATAGCAGCTGTAAAACCACGTGCTAGTAGGTCGGATATGTAGTATAGCGGATTTGGCGTAGGTCGAAAAATACACCACCATTATGATTAATGAATTTCTAAGGCAGGAGAGTTACCAGCTGACCGTCTTCAGCGCAAATGTTCCCAATTGCAAGGATTGGTTCTGCCACTGCAGAAAATCGCGGCAAAGCGATGTTCTTCTCCGCATCGCTTCAAGATCTCCATAGAGGAAAATAAATTCTCGTCCGAGGTTGGAAGGAGATGCATTATCGTTGATTTCTGTAGCGGTGGGGGTCATCTTGGTCTTCTACTGGCGCATCTTATACCCCAGGTCAGGCCAATAGATATAATTCTGAGGGTGTCGAATGTCTATACATTATTGTAAAAAATCATAGAGTGTGGCTTGGCCATGGCCATTGTCTATTTCCTCTGAGTTTTCAATTAAAATTATTGTCTATTTTGGTCTTTTTTTCATCCCTAAATTGTTTGAAAATTGCAGGGGTTTTCCGAGAATTGTAAATTTTTACCCTAAAGCTATGAACTGGCAGAATTTTCTTAATCAGAAATTGACAGGACAGGCAGTGGGAACCAAACTTTTTTTAAAGAAACGAAATCATGTATTCAATGACCTTGTTTTTGGTGTATCTTCGAAAGTTGGGTTATCTTGTATTTAAGATTCTAGAACTTTGCATCTAATGTCTTATGAGGATGACTGCTCTGCATTACAACTTTGAATAATAATAATGTAACTCGAAATTCCGGGGACCAACACATTCCAACGACGAATTATCAAAAAAAAAAAATTTCCGAAAGATTAATAACCCCCGGCCATGACTTCCCCTTTTTACACTCCCTTGGAATTCAAATATTTCGTTATTATCTCTATTATATAATAAAGCTCTTCGCTCATATATATACATATTAGCCTATGTCAAAGTCGGTCAACTTTTGTTACAGAAAAGAGTAGTCGGTAATGAAGTTCCCAAGGACAGGTTAATAAAACAATTTTTTTTTATGACAACAGGTATAGCAGGACAAACTATTTGACCAAATTGGCTGACATTTTTTGAGGGAACCGATGGGTATCATGTGGGAAAAATAGGTTTAAAAATTCGACATGTTTTTTCTTGAAAATTATAATTTTATTTTTTCAAAAAGCGAAAATATATATATTTTTTTTAAAATTCCACGGGCATCGCCGGTTTCTCTATCTAGTAGATGATTAATTGTTTAAGGCTGAAGTTCACATGGTGGAGAACAAAGAAGAGAGTTTAGCTCGAGCTCGTGAGCGTGGGTTGGCACTAGGACTCAAGAATGTCTGGTACTATCAAGCTAACATGGAGTACTATCAGGAACCAGAAATATTAATACTTTATAAAACTACTCTAAAACAGTCTATAGCCACTAATTTTAATGTTTCCGTGGAAATACACCCTATAGCTTCAAGTGACCCTCCATATTATACATACATATATAAATCTGTTTTTTTATTAATAATAAATTGATTATATATAAATATATATATTTACAGAGGCATGTTAGACTAACAACGGTATCCTTGAAAGCTTTGTCTGATCATGAATAAATGAGATATCTGAGAACTGGTGGCATGCTTGCCACAAAAACACTAAACACTTTTTAAGATAACAAAACGATATTATTAATTAGATAAAGGTTGAGCGAGTACCGTTGTAAATTGGGCATGGTCCTCTTAAATGTAGGTTCACTTGAAATTACAAAGGAAGTCCATGTAAGCATTAATTGACACGGAGATTTGCAAATTTTCAACAAATTAATGGAAAACTTAACGAGATAGTCTCATTAGACGTATATATATTTATATATATAGTTTAAGCACTGATTTATGAGAAAAAGAATCCTTACTTTTCTTTGGTTTCTAAAAAATTGGCCATTTCCTCCTCTGCCCCTTTTTTCCTAAAGCTACAAGTTTGAAAACAATAATAATACTAATATGGTTTAATCAGGGAGTATTTAATATGGTTTAATCAGGGAGTATTTGATATCGGATGTTCCCTCCATGCCTGCGGTGTAGCCACGGATATAGTTATTGCAAAGTGTATTGTGAATAGAGCTGATTTTGTGTGTAGCCCTTGCTGCTATGGAGCTGTTCAACCTATAGAGAATATTAAGTATCCGAGGTCATTCTTTTATTTTTTTAAGTTTGAGAAACTGTTTGTTCTACAAATGAAAAGCATTTTGTAAGTTATCTTCAATTCGTAAAACTCTTCTTATGGCCAAAATATAACCATTAAAAAAGCCTATAATTGTTATTTTCTTGTTATCTACATTAATATTGTTGACCTTTTAAGGATGATGCGTTAGAAGAATTTTTTTTTGCAAATTGTTTGATCTGAAAAGTTTTGAGTTGCACATCCCCCTCCCCCCCAACAAAACAAAATATAGTATAAAAATTTTGACTTAATTTCAGAACTATTCTAAAACTTTATTCAATTTTAATTATGATTATTTTTTTTTTGCCGATTTTAATGCTTGAACTTGACAAATAATGAGATATTATAGGTTCCATTCTATTTAAAGCTTGAGATTTGTGTTCTAACTAATTTAGATTTTTATAAAATATATTCATTAAGACAGAAAAAGTGGTTTATAGTTGATCCAGTACCTCTGTAAAATCCATGACCAATCTCTTTTTTAACCATCTATTTACAACTAGGGATACAGAGAAGAGTATCCAGGGTGAGCTATGTATGGATATAGTGGATACAGACCGGTGTCTCCACGCCAGGGAGGAGGGATACAACACTGTTCTAAGTAAAATATATCCTTTATCCTGTTCACCTAAACATAATATCATTATTGCCACAACTACTTAATAGTCCCAGTATTTATACTGCATTAAAGGGACTGTATGTGTAATTTCACCTGACCCTCCATACAAAGATGGCAATGCCTGATTTGTAATGCATAGGTGCCCTTAAAAGCTTTGTTTGATCAAGTATGAATTAGATATCCATGTTTTTGTTTATTTAAACTGTTTATTTTCAATTGTTGGTTCTCTTAGTAAGTGGCTTGCACATTCCTTGCTCAATGGAAACAATGGAGAAATTACAGAAATACCCACTTTCAAGTTCAGATAAGGGTTTCAAGGATACCGTTAATTGTAAATCCGGCGTTGCTCTCTTTGCATGGAGGGGTCACTTGAAATTACCCTTACAATCCCTTGACACTTAACAATCCGGAAAGAGTAATTGTTCTTCCTGATTTTCATGACAATTCAATAGTGTTTAGAAGTGTACACTGCTCCTAAAAAGTAGTGTATTTTTATAATTTCGTCCAGGACAATCCAAGATTTAATATTTTTTCATATTTTCAGATAAAAATGGTTTTGAGTTTTCCCAATAAATATACAGAGGAGGAGCAGTCCTTAGTGGTAAGTCACTGTAAAGAGCCTTTATACTTAATTGACCTCGGTACTGAAGGGAAACCGGTCTTAATGGAAACAGGTTCATAAGAATACAGGTTCATAAGAATATAGGTTCATAAGAATACAGGTTCATAAGAATATAGGTTCATAAGAATATAGGTTCCTAAGAATACAGGTTTTTAAGAATACAGGTTTTTAAGAATACAGGTTCTTAAGAATACAGGTTTTAAAGGATGCGGAAACAGGTTCATAAGAACACAGGTTCTTAAGAATACTGGTCCCAAAGGATAAAGGTCATAAAGGATGTATACAGGTTCTTAAGATTACAGGTCTTAAAGAATACAGATTCTAAAGGATACAGGTCTTAAAGAATACAGATCCTAAAGGATACAGATCCTAAAGGATACAGATCATAAAGGATACAGATCATAAAGGATACAGATCATAAAGAAACAGGTCTTAAAGAATATAGGTTCTCTAGAATACAGGTTCTAAAAAGAAACAGGTCTTAAAGAATACAGGTTCTCAAGAATAAAGGTACTAAAGAGAAACAGGTCTTAAAGAATACTTAAAGAATTTATGGTAGTGTTTGCGTAATTTTAAGTCCATTTATTTTAAAACGTGTTGAATTCTGACAATTTTCTGCATTGTCTTTACAGAAGCTGAATCCTTCTGTCACTTAATTAGAGAACCCACAAGTGAAATCAAACCATATTTCAGTTAGAAAATAAATGATATTTGCGATTATCTGATTCATCCTGGACCTGACATAGGCATAGTAGGTACCGTTGTTAATCAGACATACCACTATTATAAACTGTAGCTTCACTAGAAATTTCGTCCACAATCCCTTTCTTCTAGGCGAAGTATGCCAAACTGCGCAGAAAGAAGAAACAATTTGCTGGTATGTTATTTTTTCTTTATTTTATTTTCTTTTTTATTAACTGAAACTTTTTACTTTTCCAACCCATTTCGGGTGGAAACATTTTTCAACGTCAATGAAAGAAAATTTCCGAAAATATTCTTTTTATTATTCTTCATTGAGGGAGCCGGGAAGCCTTTATAATATACTAGTTTGGAACCCAACGCTTCCCAGGAGAGTCATAGTTAGTCCCACCGATTACCCGCTTATTGTCGTAAATTACGATTTTAGCTATTTATCCCATTTAAGGGTAATTCACTCAATTTAGAGTCTCTAAACCAAGCTAAGAATGTTCCCGTGGGTCTCGCGAGTTCCCCAATCAAAATTTGAGGCAAATCGTTCCAGGGGTTTCTGGGTTATGATCGGACAAGCAAACAAAATTAGTTTGAAATTGTCTATCCAGAGAAAAATATTTTAAACATCGGTCTTTGTAAATTTTCCGAAAGCAACACATTTTTGCAGGAATTCTTAGAATCCTACTGAGTTTGGAAATTTTTTTCTCAATTTTTAAATATTGCTATTTTTAAATTTTCCGAAATTAACACATTTTTGCTGGAATTCTTAGAATCATGCTTCAGTTGGGAAATTTTTTTATCACTTTTTGTTACTAGAAGGTCGATTAATTTATCAAAAGTTCATTTATTTTTTATGAAATAGACTCTCACGTATTTTGGGATAAAGTAGGGCTGAAAAGATGTGAGTGGGGGGGATATTATAATATATTTTCGTGGTTCTTTTATTGATTTATAATTTTTTTCTAGATGTTACAAAACCTAAGCAGGAGCCGGAGAAGAACCTGAACAAGCGACCTAGCGAGGCCAAGGATGCGAGGGAGGTGGCTAAGAAACTCATCAAGACTGGAGCAATAAGGTATACTCATTACTCATGGATAGGTTGGGAGGTCCATACTCCATATACATATTTATGAACAGTAAGGGATATGTATTGTATGTATTGAATATGTATATTAAGTCCCTTCTGATTGTTAAACCATAATCCTTGAAACCTTAATCTGATAAAAATGTGGAAGATAACTTTTTTTCTGAAAAGTCTTCTTGAAAGTGTTTATTTCATTGAATAGGCAAGAAATGCATTAGTCACTTTTGCAGAGAATCCACAAATGAAACTAAACAGTTTGAATAAACATGGATATCTAATTCATACTTTATCAGAGAACGCTTATAAGAGAACAGTTGTAATTCGGGTATTGTAATCTTTGCATAGAGGGTCAATTGAAATATCGCCAACAATCCCTTTAAGTGAGATCAAAAACTAATATTACTTAACATAAATATGTCTTTTTCTTGAACATTTGGAATGCTAATAAACCTAAAATATGCCGATTTGTCAGAGCAATCAAGAGTTCTATTGAGAAGGAGAAGATTAAGGACGAGAAGATCAATAGTGGGTTCAAGAGATCTCAAGGTAGGTTTATATCTTACAGTTGGTTCAAGAGATCTCAAGGTAGGTTTATATCTTACAGTTGGGTTCAAGAGATCTCAAGGTAGGTTTATATCTTACAGTTGGTTCAAGAGATCTAAAGGTAGGTTTATATCTTACAGTGGGTTCAAGTGATCTCAAGGTAGGTTTATATCTTACAGTGGGTTCAAGAGATCTCAAGGTAGGTTTATATCTTACAGTGGATTCAAGAGATTTCAAGGTAGGTTTATATCTTATAATGGGTTCAAGAGATCTCTAGGTTGGTTTATCTCTTTCAGTGGATTCAAGAGATCTCAAGGTAGGTTTATATCTTACAGTGGGTTCAAGAGATCTCAAGGTAGACTTATCTCTAAAAGTGGGTTCATGAGGTCTTACAGTGGGTTCAAGAGATCTCAAGGTAGGTTTAACTCTTACAGTGGTTCATGAGATCTCAAGGTTGGGATATATCTTACAGTGGGTTCAAGAGATCTCAAGGTAG